AATGACCTTTACTAATATCTGAAAAAATTTCTGCCACCCTTAACTTTTGCAGGACATGTAACATAAGTCCAAAAATTACAGCTTCAGCCTAACAGCAATTCCTGAGGTCCTCTGCTGAGTTCCTCTGTTGGAACGTAACATTCTGTATTTGAAGCCCAACAGTTCTGTACTGCTCACTAACAGAACTGCCACCCCTGAATTTCCCCCTCCTTTTCGAACTTTGCCCCGCTGGCAGGGGTTCAACAGAATGCTAATCTGACATAGCGATGTTAATGTAAGGCCTCGATGTAAACAGAAAACCTGTAGCTGCACTGTAATTGGTTAATTCAATTACAAAAACAGTTAGTAAAACATATCAACGTTTTAATTATGTCCAAGCAGGGTATTATAATTTAAATCAGAAGTTTTCAACGCAGCTTAAAATGTAACCATTTTATGCAATTTTTGAAGGGGTAACATCAATAAAATTGTTAAAAATTAATTTTTATAATTTATTACTTTTATATGCAGTCTTGTTAACCAAGTAAAAACTATTACAGAGAATTATTCCGAATCGAAATTAATGTTTTTTTTTAATTAACTAAATTAACCAAAAAAATTATAATATAAAAAGATTGATTTAAGGTATTCTTGGTGGTGTTTCAAACCCAATACATTTATGATTTTCGAATGTAATATATTAAATTGGAATTTTGAAATAATAATGAAAAATATTATAAATTTATTAAAACTTTTAAAGACATAACAAATTGCTCACAAATTTAACAGAACAAATTTAATTTAAACTTTCCATGCAGGTTTGCTAACTTAATAAAAACTAAAAACTAACGAAAATTTTTTCAAAAAACACACATATCAGAAAATAGTTCTTGAAAAATAGAAACAATCATTCAATCCAATTTTCCAACCGATATCTTATTTCAAATATAATTAATTTCGTTCAGTGTGCTTTGGGATGTTCGTTTGGCAAATGAAAGTTTCGCTTTTAGCTGCCGGCTGATGAGATGTGTAGATGGTGGGCCTGGGCCAGGCCAGTGGCTTTTAACCCCTTTTAAAATAGTTTTAATTGAATTTATTGATATTTTAGAAGAAGGCCGAGATAGAAGAATCCCCGACCGCACACAAGTCAAATGCAAACACAAACGGAATCCAACGGGGAGTAGGGGAGCTCCTTCCCTTGAATCCTTGGGAGCTGCCAAACACAAAAAGCTAAAAAAAAAACTAAAACAAAGTTAACTTTTCATCGGGCTAATAAAGCGTGCGTCTTTTTGGCAACAAAATGGCGGCGATGAAGACAACGACACCAAATCAATGCTCACAGAGTCTGGGACTGGGACTGGGACTAATGAATAGAAATGTCGTCCTTCAAAACTTTTCGGTTGCCATGGAAGGCCAAAGAGCAAGCCCCTCCCTCTCTTCTCTCACCATTTGTGTGTGGGTTAATGAAAATCCGATTCTAGTTCCATGCCCCCATATTCACACATCTTATGCTTTCAACTTGACTTTGGGTTTTTGGCTTTTTGAGGGCTCAAGGAAGCGTGGCAGAAGATTTGCGGCGGCTCCTTGCGGAGTGCAGAACTTAAATGCGTGGCATATGAATCGTTAATTGTGTGGGCGTGCCAGCAGGCGGAAACGGATGCGGGCTAGAAGAGGAAGATGTGCGGTAAGAGGGTTGAATAGAGAGAACTTGGCACCAAGAATAAGTGTGCTCTATGCCTCTTAGAGGATTTTAAGGTATTTAAATAGCCGAATTAGCAATTCAAAGGTAATGACAGTGCATTACGAATTTACTTGCTTTTCTTGAATTATTTCTTAAGATCATATTAATAATTGATTACACAGTATCTTGGATATAAACTAGTGAAAATCAAAGTAATAATGGAAATATAATTACTTTTAAATCTAAAGATTTCAAAAGAAAACTACAATTTAATTATTATTCCACTCGATTATTAATGTCTACAAACGTTAAGAAAGGTCTCTTGGATTTTATTTAATGATTTTTCCGTTTTATAATAATTTCCAAAAGGCTCATCATGGTGAGTGTTTTAATATCAAGTCATCCAGCAATGAAAAATATTATCATAAAATTTGACATTAGCATATTGCATTTCCATTGCGTTAATGTGACAAAATGACAAATGAAGTTGGTGTCGCCTTGCCACTCTTCTAGCTCTCTAGTCCTCCGAGTCCTCCAATTCTCCAGTCGCATTCCTAGTCGAAAGCCGTCTGTCTCCTTTCGTGAAATTCCCGTTCCTCGAACAACATTTTATGCGTTTCGCGGCGAGCTGCACTTGAATTTGCATTTGCATTTTTCGCAGCGTGGCAAAAAGCAAAACACTTTGACAACAAGCGTTTACAAACTCGCCAGCAACAAACCAAGTAGCGCGGCAACTTTGAAATTGATAAATTGATTTATGCAAACAAAACGGCGAGAAAGAATCTCGCAGCAAGGCGATACTTGGTTGACTTTTATCCGCCTTATATACATACATATTTCTATATATATGGAGACTCCATTGGAACCGCGTGAATATGAAAAATGATGATGACGGGGGCAAAAACAAAAAAATTGCTTTGTTGTATAAGCACAGATACCGAACCTCCGGCTCTGACAGGGCCAGTGCCAAAGAACACACAAAATCAATTAATAAACAATATGAATCGGAATTGCAATTGTTTGCATGTCCACAGCAGACCTGCCCTCTCCACGATTTTGGCATTATTCGACGACGGCTATTTTTGTTCGCATTGAAATGCTTCTGTGGAAATGTCACTTGTTTTTCCAGCCATTCTTTACGTCGCTTCCAGACCCATTGTCCTGGGATTTGATGCCATTACGGTTGCTGTGGCTGCCGTTGCTGATTGAGTCATTGCCCCGCACGTACCGAAAGCCAGTACAACACCACCAAACCATTTCAAATATTGGTTGTGCCCAATAATTTGTCAGATAAAAATATAAATTTAAAGTCCCTAAAATAGATATGATGGCATTATTAAAATCGATAAAATTGTGAACAAAATTTAATTAAATTAATTTAATTTAATTTAATTATTAACTCCATACATGGGATTCTTAGAACTAAGATTTCTATTTGCTAAGTAGGACTATCATTTTTAGCAAAGTATAATTTTTAAATATAGGAATTCGTTCAAAGCTAGAAATATGAATATATTATTGAGATAACTCCCACTGAGTATTCAACGCCCACCGATTTCCACCCGGAGAAGTAAGTGGATGTGCACTGGAAAGCAAATAACTTGATATGGTAAACACGTCACGTGCCCCGTATGTTATTGCCTTCGGCTGCCTGCTTCTGTGTCACTGCCTTTGATTTTGATTTTGCAAAATGAGAGACTGTGGACAAGATGTCGACTTAATGTGCGTCGCCACGCCCCGTTGTCTGATGCCCGCCTAAGCGCCTGGCATTATAAACTTAATTAAAATATCGGCAGACAGTAATGAATGACGGCCCCCGAAAGCAGGCAATGTTTTCCTTTTAGAAAGGCATGCGGCAAATATTTAAAGTGCCACCTATGCCACTCACACACTCGCACATGTTGTGCCGACTTTGGCGGATACACGAATGCGTGTGTGTATTTATAGACACACCTGCCATACCCACACTCGCACAATGGCACTACAATCACAGGTAACTGCTACATGTGTAAATATTTACAAAACGCGCCAAGCGTCGACAAACCGACGCCAGGCATCTTCACTTTTACCAACGCCAACCAGCGACTCTTCACTGTTGTTGCTGAGCGCAACTCTTTTGTTGCTCCCGGAGCGCTTCCTTGGCGGCAAGGGTTTTAGGGCTCCAAAACTCAAAAAAAAAGGCTTTTATAACTTTTTCAGAGGCCTATTATTTGTACTTTTAATACGAACTTTCAATTGGTACTTGTTTTTGTTAGGTATAATAATGTCGAATAGCATGTTATGTTATGTATTATTGAGTTAATTATTTTAATAACAGTACTTTAAAATCACAACAAGATATATTTACAAAAATATTTATTATTTGCGCTTCTTTGGGGGCAGGGGTTTTAGGGCTTTTTTTTTATCTGCATCTGTCTTTTCAGTCTCCCACGCAGCCAAACACCGGTTTATTTATGCCCTTCGATATTTATCGCTGTTGCTCCATTTGTTTTTGTTGCTGCCATTGCTGGTTTTCCAGAGTCCCCAGCACGGATGGTACATATATGTACATATGTATGTATGCTCCTGTTTGTTTTATTCCCTTTTATTATTATTATGCTGTCATTTCTGTTGTCGCGACATTGTCAGTGAGGGTTGTGTGTGGTCCTTTCAACGGGTGTCTGTGTGTGTGTGGTGGACTTAAAACCCGAGTCGCATTCAGCTCGTCCTATTTATCCCTTTTTACCGGCTTCAGAAGGGTTGTAGTTTTTGTACCGATTGAGCAAGACGTTTTCGGTGTCATAATAATGGTTTACTTTAGAAATCGGTCATAAAATGAGGCAGAAACCAAAGTATAATTTTCAATTCGATTACCCAAATATCCAAATCAATTTTGTAAATCGTTATTTTATTATTTATACGTTGAAAATTTGACACATCCAGTCATACATATATCAATATATTATCGTTGGTGCCTCTTTTCTCTGTAATGTCTACGTTAATCCTTGGGATAAATTCCACTGGGGTGTCATAAATGTTTAATAAAATGAAAAAACTACAGAACTCTCTAGGTTTCCCTGTGGAAAAATCCCTAGAAAAATACCCCCAACTCTATATTATAAAGTTAGTCTAATTGTCCGATACTATATCATTTTTTACAAATTTTCCATTATCTGTTGCCCTACTCTTAGATACGCGTGTACCGGCTATCACACTTTCATAATTATTACTCTGAGCGTAACTTTTCATGAGAGATAACGATTCTCGTTGCGTGATTAATACTAATTTTCATTGGAGCTGCGGGGTTATGGCTGGAATATAAAGGTCACGTTCAACAACCGATTTCGGTTACAAGTGAAAAATGATTCTCGAAATTACCGTTGTGCTTGCCACCCTAAGCCTTGTCCGTGCAAAGGATGCAACCTATGAACTTATTATATCGGATTCGGCTCTAGTGACCACTTGCAAAGAAGCTGCACCGGGCAGACTGGACATCGATGGCTTTATGGACTTATCAGAGATATCCACAACCTTGAAAGAGAACGGAGTTGTTCTAGCTGGAAATATTACCTTCGTATGGGACATTCAACCGCAGGATCGTATAAAGGTGAAGAAAGTTTTCAACGGATGTGGCTAGAGTTCGCGGAAATCTATCACGAATTTCAGTACATTTTCAGGCTGTTATTAAACTTTTATATCTCGATCGAGGCACCTGGACACCGACATTTTACACCGTCACATCAAATGATTTTTGCAAGTCAATGTACGATTCAAGGCTACCGTGGCACACGTACTGGTTACGACACGTAACAAACTACGAGGATGTCAAGGACAAATGTATAAGTCCTGGGGTAGGTACATATAGTATATATAAACATCCATTTAAATGATTATAAACAGCAATCAAGGAAAAACGATAAACATTTTTAAAACTTTCATTGCAGACAAAACTTATCCTTGAGACTTACTTGTTGAGGTCGACCATGACCATGCCCAAAATTCGAGAGGGATTTTATAAAGTCCAGTGTACCTACCAAGCTTTCGATGTCAATGGTACCGAGCGGCCTACAAGCGCCTGTTTCGAGGTATATGGAGACTTACAACAGTTTTAAATTTATATCTCATAAATTGTAAAAATTTGTTTCAACAAAAGTGGATTTGCCACTACAACTTGAAATGTTAATTAAAAACAGCATGTTATTCCAATTGTAATTTTAATTTTGCATTCATTTATTTATTCGTATACAGGAATATTTCAAACGGTTTCAAGAACAAACTTATATTTTAAAGGCGCATTCTTACAATTAAAACAAATAAATATAATGTAAATGAGGCTTAGGATTAAACTGATATTTTAGACCACTTTATGCTAGACAAATAAACAGTTATTAATACTTATATATATATTATAATCAGGATACGTCCGAGTGCAGATCGTTAATGGGAGTAATGGCACGATTCATCAAGTTCCTAAGTCCCACTCCATAGGAAAGATTAAAAGAAATTAAAAGATATTCCTTAAAATCTACCTAAAAATAACAAATTAGGTCCGTTTCTCAAATATTTCATCAAAAGATATGCATTTTAAATTAATTACTTACAACAAGGGTATTTAAACTTCGACTTGCCGAAGTTAGCTTTCTTTCGGGTTTTTGAACAATCTTTAAACTACGCTTCATGGAATCTTCCATTATATTGACATATTTATGTATGTATGTTTTTTATTTTCGATAATTCCATAAACATAAACATTTATAACTATATCGTTACTATACTTAAATCAGACAATAAGATCAATCCTGTATACTTGATTGTGGGCGTATACCATAATATTGTTATGATGTTTTAAGATTCAAGTACATATAATTAATATTAATAATTTTAATTTATAAATATTACCTACCTATTAATATAATTATTAACGACTTTGCTAACTGAGGCATGGTATATATTGCCATGAATTTCAATGGTTGCATTCAGTTTAGCGTCATATTGAAAAATTAATCTTAAAGTTATTCTAGTGGCAATTTTCGCCACCTTAAGCCACGCAAAAGAAGTATGAATTTCAATTTGATTACCCAAATATCCAAATCAATTTTGTAACTCGTTATTTTATTAATTGTATGTTGAAAATTGGCCACATCAGGCCATTAGTTGTGGTCGTAGATGTCGACATAAATCCTTGGGATAAATTCGACTAGGTTGTCAAAAATATGCAATAAAATCGAAAAAGCTCAGAACCCCTAGGCCTCGCCTTACAAAGGTCCTTAGAAAGAGGCCTCAGACTCAATATATTGGCATACCTAGAGTACGTGGAACATTTATAAACATGATATCGCTAGTTAAATTATCGCTAATTAAATTATTATTATAACATTGGCCCAGTTGCTGTTGTCCTACTATTGGAGCCGCGTGTACCGGCTATCAGAGCTTTTATAATTATTTGAATCAATGTCTGATCGTAACTTTCAAGAGAGATCTTTATTAACAGCCTCTGATCCGATTACGAGCCTGATAGCGATTTTCGTTTCATGATAAATAATAAATTTCATTGAAGCTGCGTGGTTATGGCTGGTATATAAAGGTCATATTCAACAACCGAGTTCGATTAAGAGTGAAAAATGATTCTCAAAGTTACCTTACTACTCGCCACCCTAAGCCTTGTCCGTGCAAAGGATGCCACCTATGAACTTATTTTGTCGGATTCGGCTCTAATCGCCGCTTGCAAAGAACCTGCACCGGGCAGACTGAACATCGATGGCTTTATGGATTTATCAGAGATATCCACAACCTTGAATGAGCACGGAGTTGTTCTAGCTGGAAACGTGACCTTCGTATGGGGCATTCAACCGCAGGATCGTATAAAGGTGACAAAATTTATCATCGGATATGGCTAGAAGTCGCTGCAATCTATCGCGAATTTTTTTTACATTTTACAGGCTGTTATTAAACTTTTATATCTCGATCGAGGCACCTGGACACCGACATTTTACACCGTCACATCAAATGATTATTGCAAGTCAATGTACGATTCAAGGCTACCGTGGCACACGTACTGGTTACGACACGTAACAAACTACGAGGATGTCAAGGACAAATGTATAAGTCCTGGGGTAGGCATATAAAATGATTATAAATAGCAGTCAAGGAAAATCGATAAACATTTTTAAAACTTTCATTGCAGACAAAACTTATCCTTGAGACTTACTTGTTGAGCCTGGCCATGACCTTGCCCAAACTTCGAGAGGGATTTTATAAAGTCCAGTTGACCTATCAAGCTTTCGATGCCAACGGTACCGAGCGGCCTACAAACATCTGTTTTGAGATACTTGGAGACTTACAAAAAGTTTAAAATAAGTAATATTTAATACTACTTCCTTGTAAAAATTTGTTTCAACAAAAGTGGCTTTGCCACTACAACTTGAAATGTTCATTAAAACAGCATGTTAATACAATTTTGCGTTAATTTATTTATTTTTATACGTATATATGAGTAATATTTTAAGAAAAATTTCAAGGACAAACTTATATTTTGAAGGTACATCCTTACATCCTTACATCCTTATTTGTGCTTTCAGCTTTTTGTTTTGGTCATTATCAGGTTACGGTCGAGTGCGTTAGTAGGGATAACGACACGATTCATAGGAACGATCGGAAAATTAAAAGATATTCCTTAAAATCTACTTTAAAATAGTAAATTAGGTGTGTTCCTCAAATATTTCTTCAAAATATATAAATTTTTAATTAACAACAACAATCTTTCATCAAGGGTATTTTAAACCTCGACTTGCCAAAGTTAGTTTTTCTTTCATGTTTTTCAATAAACTACGCTTCACCCAATCTTCCTTTATTTTTGATAATTTCGTATACATAAAAATGTATAACTATATCGTGACTAGACTTAAATCAGACAATAAGATCAATCCCGTATAATTGATTGTGGGCGTATACCATAATATTGTTACGATGTTTTAAGATTTAAATACATATAATTAACAATCAATAATTAATAGTAATAATATTAATTTATAAATAATACCTACTTATTAATATAATTATTAAAAATTTCGCGAGCTCCGGCATGGTATATATTGCAGTAAATTTCAACCATTGCATTAAATTTCGCGTCAAATTGAAAAATGAATCTCAAAGTTTTCCTAGTGGTCATTTTTGCCACCTTAAGCCACGCAAAAGAAGCCTTGTATGAACTCGCTTTATCGGATGAGAATATATTTAGTGCTTGCCCAGATACTGCACCAGGAACACTTGACATACATGGCTTTTTCGATTTATCTGAGTGCCTCACAACTTTGGAAGAAGACGGTATTATTATATCTGGAAATACCACGTTTATATGGGACATTCAACCGCAGGATCGTATAAAGGTGACGAAAAGTTATCAAGGGACGGCGAGAGGTCTCGGCAATTTATCTCAAATTTTTCTCAATATTTTTTAGATGGTTGTTAAACTTTTATACTTTGATCGGGGTACATGGTCACCAACATTTTTCTCCGTGATAGCCCATGATTTATGCAAGTCAATGTACGATTCAAGGCAACCGTGGTATCCTTTTTGGACGGGACACGTTAAGAACGTCGAGGATGTCATGGACAAATGTGTAAATCCTGGGGTAGGTATATAAATTCAAATATATATATCTATTTTATGGTTTCGGGAAAAAATTATTTTTTGAATTCATAAACTTATATATATTTTTGCTTGCATTGCAGACAAAACTAATCTATGAAACTTACAACATGAGTCCGACCTTTAACATGAAAACAATCCGAGAAGGGCTTTACAAAGTCCACTATAACTTACATGCTTTTGATTCCGACGGTACTGAGCGGCCTACAAACATATGTTTCGACGTTGTTGGAAACTTACTAAAAAAAAGTGGTGTGTGACTGACGTTCCATAAGAAATCCATGTGAAGACAAAATGTCTTCCATGCGGAAAGCTTGCTTGCAATTGGCAATGAAGAAATAAACAAAGAAATAAGCAAGAACATTAATTATTTTACTAAAATATGTACGAAATTTATTATTGGTTTAATGCGTACAAATTAAAGGTTTAAATTTATAGTTTTATTATTGTAATCGTTAATATATACACTCAATTACTTAGGGACTTAGGGACTATGAAGAAATAAGCTTAGGTCTACTGCTTAAGCAAATGTAGCGTCATACTTTCAATAACATAAGGACTTCTATAAAACGATTGCCAGCGGTCAGTTACGGCTAACTTAACTAAGACACGAGATCGTTGAGGCGTTCATGTTGGCGGGCAGCAGAGACCGCCGAGACCGATCATGTCAGATGCGGCGTGGCCGCTGTTGCCGATTTCCCCGCGAAGAATCGACTTCCGCCAGTCTGGTTGGTAAAGAGCAGTGTATCCACTGAGGGCAGCATCTGATTCGAGCGCACTAGCAGAGGTACATTCACCATTGACACCGTGGGCACGGCATTCGTGATCACCGGCTGCGCCGTATTTCCGGCGCTTAGCTTGCCATTCGCGTTTAATGTGAAGGCAGGCAGATAGTAATTTCCAGATCGCGTCGGTATAGCCTGCGTGGATGTCGCCGTACTGGAAACGGTGGAAACGGCTGTCAGTTCCATAGAAGCCGGCGAAGAGAACGGTGAGGACTCCAGAGAGGGGCAAGCAAGACGGTCGCTGGGCTTACAAGGCACTATAAGTAAAATTTGTTGCTTTATTTTACATGTAAAATAGAATCCATTAAAATCTTGACTTACGAAAATCATCATCTGGCAACAGCTCGTCAGGTAATTCATTTTTTATCTGAAAATGCAGGGCAGCTGCCGAGTCAGAGATGGCGTTGTCCGACGTTCCCATGTCTGTGCGCACGACTGGGGCATCGTATAGGCCGCACTCCTCCATCTCCAGGGCTTGCTCCATGATTAACTCCTCGGCTGAAGTCAGGCTGAGGCCATGCAAATCCAGAAACGGACCCTGACTTTGCACCGGTTCAGTTTTAATCTGGGGCATTGCAGTGCTCATCTCAAGGCTATTTTGCTGCATCTGGGCCTGTCGTTGTAGTTGCTTGGGCGCCAGCTGTTTACGTTCTCGTTTAGCTTTCGCCTGCTTGGGTGCCGGTGGAGGCAGCGTCACCACCACATTGGACACCTCTGGTTGCTGTTGTGTTGCTGACGGCGCCGGATGCACCTGCTGTAGGGCTGTGCCGGCTGGCAGGGTAATCCCCAAAGCAGCCAGAGTAGCCTGCTGCGGCTGTTTTTTCTTGCGAGCCTGTTTTGCAGGAGTCAAGGCAGCTGCTGGCGTAGGATTGGTCTTTACTTTCAGTTCACTGGATGTGGCAAGATCGTCGGGATTCGCTGTGGCTGTTGCCACCGCCGCAGCCGCCGCCGCTGCTTTTTGGGCCTTACTGGTGGTCGACTTCTTTGAACAGTAGGAGGGAATGTTCTCGAGGTGCTCGCCTGTTTTATGGTCCACCTTATGCCGGCGCCTCGTGTGCTTAAGCCAGTTGGGGAAGTTGGTAAAGTCACGAGGGCAGTAGTTGCACTTAAAGGGACGCATGCCCGTGTGGATGTTCGAGTGCTGTTTCAGCTTTGAGTTGCTAATGAAGCTTTTGTCGCACACCGTGCAGGCGAATGGTCGCTGCTCCAAATGCACCAGGTTGTGAACCTTCAGGCAGCGCTCCGTCTTGTACATCTTGCCGCACTTTTCGCAACGGTAAGAACGAGTTTGGGCATGGTACTTCTGATGGCGCTGCAGATGCGACCGCTCCTGGAAGCGCTTCTGACACTCCGGACATTCGTACGGCTTCTCAGAGGAGTGGATTCGGGCGTGATGTGTAAGGTTTATCTTCTGCACGAACTTCTGACCGCAGATGTCACACTGGTACTTCTTGTTGTCACTATGAATCTTCCTATGCATCCACATGCTGCCCAACTTAAGGCTGTTGTAGGAACAAAAGCAAATTAACACAACTTCTTAAACTCTGGATCTAACGAAAACTTACCATTTACCGCAGTCGGGGCACTTCTTCCAAGTGTCTTTGCGTGCCTCGGTGCGATGCGTCTTTAGGTGCTTCTTTAATCCAGCCAGCACCTCGAATTCACGCTGGCACTCACTGCAGCGGTAGGTTAAGCGCAACCGATGTGATGCCGCCTCGTGCTTGGTCACCTCATCGGGTGTTTCCAACAGCAGGCCGTTGCAGTCGAGGCACTTGTGGAGCGGAGCAGGATCAATTTCCAAGGACTTGCCGTTAATCTCGGTTGCTGGCGGCGGCATGCTAGCCGTATCTGCCTCCGGTGACACTGTGCGAGACAGCTGTGGCTGCTGAAAGATCGTAAACGATGGCGGCAGGAACTCGCCCTCGCACACCTCAACCTTTGTGACCACATGCGATGACTTCACATCCGTTAGGGGCTGCTTTTCCTCTGGAGGCTCTTCCTTAAAAACCTTTAGACGCAACGCCGTCACCGCCGGCAGCTTGGGCTTGCGCTGCATCGACTGGCTCAGCGGCTGTGGCATCTGCAGTTGCTGTTGGTGAAGATGCAGTTGCTCGGTGGAGAGCTTTACTGGCGTGGATGCGCCGCTCGATGATGTCTTTTTGAAAGGCGAGTTGGTAAAGGCGTTCGGCGGCTCGGGTCGCAGGAACGTCACATTGAACTCTGAGCTGGAGTGATTGTCATTGGAGCTTGTGAGGCTGCCGCTGGGCACGAGGCCACTGGCCGCCAGGTCATCGCGCACGCCATCCGACGAGAGGTGGAGCTCCGTGTTGTTTTGAGCGCTTTCGTCTAGGACGCGCCAGAAGTCTGTGGAGGAGAGGCTGTTCCCATTGACCAGGCTAGCGGAGCTAATAGTCACGCAGGCGGACAGATCGATGTCCAGCGACTCGTCCTTGATGCTCGAAATCGAGTCGAAGTTATTGATCCGCAGCAGCGAGCTGAGGATCTCGTCGTGGGCCGCCTTTGTGGGGGTGCCCGCATCACCGCCATAGATTTTAGGCGGCAACTTCTTGCTTGGCGCCTCTTCCTTCATTCTCTTGCCCTTGCCTTTGCACTCCATTCGCCTCACGTACACGTACAGGTTATGCGGTCGGCGTTTTTGCTCGCCGTATTTCGTCTTATTTCGCGGCGCCGCTGGCGCTTTTCACTCACTGGTGCCCTTTCACCGATCACTGGGTCCTTAATTCACTCATTGCGGTCGCTTTTGCTTGAAAACACGCTCGGCAACGGCTCGAAAAACATTTAATTATTGTGAAATGCGCCTTGGCTTTGTTGTTTTTGTCACGCTTACAATTCTCGAGTCGCCATTTTGATAGTAGTGTTGGAAGACGCGTGCTAGTGCCAGTCCCGCTAAAAGTGCTGACAGCTTGGGTTTTAGATAGCTAGTTTTGGCCCGGTAGCATGCATTCTCAATATAGTTTTTTTTTTCATAAATTTATTATTAAAATACGTAAAATTGATTTAAATTGCGAAAGGGAATTATTTAAAATTATTGTAAACAGCGGCACATCTTCATTGTCTCCCGAATATTGCAGCATCTATTTTTTTCCTTTAAAATATACGTAAACTATATATATATATATATATATATACAACAAATATATATATTTTTAAAACATTTTAAATTATTGATTAAGTTATTCGGTTTTACCATTTGTTTGTTATGGAAGAAGAAGTCTAATTGCAAATATTGGGACATGGTGTTAATACTCTGCTGTGGCTTGAGCCCTTGGCTTTTTTATAGCCAAATAAACTTCTCAACACTTAATAATTTTGTTGGTATATCAAGAGTATATTTTAGTATTTTTTTTATTATTATTCCTGAACCCTCGGTTAAAGGGCGATCTGCGGTAACACTGATAAATATGGCGTCAGAGTCAGAAGTTCCAGGTAAAGTCAATTTTTTGTCAAATAATTAACTTCAAACGGGGGACTCGCTGTGACAGGTTATTCATTATTCAGCCAGAGCAGTAGCTTACCATCCCAGTGATACGAAGCGCGCTTGAAAACGATTTGTGAAGAAACTTGGCGCACGAGGCAGCTAATCAAAAGACACCATTACACCGCGCGTTCGCGTACAGTTTATGTAAACCGCATGGATTAAATAACCGAGTCGAGTCGTTTTGCAGGTCGTCGCACACGTTCTGGCCGGACGGCCGCATCCCCAGTAGCATCGCTACCGACCAGAAGCACCAGGCGCACATCCAAGAAGAACGCCCAGGTCAGTAACATCCTCACCCACGCAGGTCGCACACAGATACCCAGCAAGTGATGTAAACGATTGCAATATCCAGTGCGGATGTGGCGTTGTTCCATTCGCACATGATACCCACCCCGTGGGCACGTGATTCCCTGCAAGGGCCAGCTGATGTCACTAAAGCAACCAACCGTGTGATTAGTGTGGGCGACAGTCATTAATAGCATTAATCGTTCCAGCTAAGTGACCCCGAAGAGGAGCCGGAGGAACAGCCGGCAATGGTGCAGGAAGAGGAGGAGGAAAAGGGTGCTATGGCAGTGGTAGCCGCCGAGGAGGCCCCCGCCATGGAACCGCAGTTTGATGAGATAATCCAGTTGGACGATGACGTGGATATGCCCGCCGAAACTGGTGGTGTGGACGAGAAGAGTTCCTCCTTTCCGTTCGGAACGGTGGCAGAGCAGCATTCGGAGACCAGTGATGATATCAAAGAGAGTCGTAAGGAAGCCGGCGTGGACACGCTGCTGGCCTCCCTGGCGGGCGACAATGCCAACAGCCTGCCGTCCGTGGGCGGCAATGACGAAAGCGAAACCGCCAAAAAGGCGAACTTTGAGTATAACGTGGAGGCATTGCAGCCACAAGCCGAGAAACTGAATTCGTCAGAGGACTCCAGCTCACACCATGCCATAGCCGAGAGTTTAGGTGATGAGGCGGACACCAGTGATGCCACAATTGTCCATACCGAAATAATCTCAGAGGATGAACTACCTCCACCCAGCAAGCCGGAGATTAACGATGCCGAGGAAGTGTCCGATGAAGAACTTCCGGCCCCGCAACGTGCCGAGCTGCCCGCAGACGCCGAAGTGATCTCCGAAGATGAGTTGCCCACCCACAACAATAATAATGCGAATGAGGCCAAGGCACCTGTTAAGCGTAAAGCAGAAAGAGAAAACGACAAAGGAACTGAAAGTAAAGAACTTGGCATTTGTGAGACGAGCGCCAAAGAAAAGTCTGTGGAGCAATATAATCCGGGAAGTCCCACCTCCGAGAGCACCGATGGTCAGCCCTCAGAGAAGAGGACAAAGGTGGATGGTGAGTAGTAAGAGGTCTACATCACAGCAAAACAATATAACTTGACATTAATATGAAAAACAGATGCCGAGCCCAAGGACAAAAAGAAGGAAATGGAGCGCGATAAAGAGAAGGAAAAAGACAAGGAGAAGGAGCGTAAAAAGTTGCCCGAGCTAGATAGGTACTGGCGGGCGGTGAAAGAGGACTCTGCAGACTTTACCGGCTGGACTTACCTGCTGCAATATGTGGACAGTGAGGTGGGTTTAAAAAACTATAGTCTCTCGAAAGATCCCATATAAATGCAAATATTATATGCTCCAGTCCGATGCGGAAGCAGCTCGAGAGGCCTACGACACATTCCTGTCCCACTATCCCTACTGCTATGGATACTGGCGCAAGTATGCCGACTACGAGAAGCGCAAGGGCGTCAAGGCCAACTGCTACAAGGTGAGTACCCCCCACACATTTAGTCGTGCAATTAAATATCTTTCGCAATTTCTTGTATTACGCTTACAATTACGATTACAATTTATATTCATGTATTTGTGTTTAAATGCAATTTATTATGACCTAATAAAAACTACATTCAATAAATGCAACAACTACAAAAAGAAAAACACCAACTAAACTCACAACTAAAGTGTAGCAATCGGTCCATGACTAAAGTAGCCCCCCCATTCAGGGCAGTGTTGTCTTATAGGGTTCGTTTCTCCTAAGCATTTTTGGAATACAAATGACACTGAAACTGGGTATTGGAGCTGACATATCTAAGGAGGTAGACATAGCCGGAAAATCACAATAAAATTAAAATGTTTATTTATACAGTTATATTTAATTACCTTTTTTTCTTAAATATTGCACCATTTACCATTTTAATGTGGTTTTCTGACGCCTTTAAATTAGGGAAGCAAATGAGGGTTATGAGTAAAACAAAAATTAAGCTGGGGCGATGAAAAAATTTTGTATATGTAATATGCATTTATGTAAATGCACATATTTATTTATATGCTATAATACATATATCAAACGAACGGTTTTTTAATTAAATATATAAATCCTTTAAATATACTACTCCGTTATTGCAATTTTTGGATTAGAAGTTTACAAATAACTCCTTTTTTTCAATTATTACTTTAAAAAATACAAATATTACTCTTTATAAAAAAAAGGTGAAAATAATAATAATTATAAAATTTTGTTTATTAGTAGTGAAAAGTAAATAATAAAATTTTGTATATTATTCGAAATTAATGCTTTAAATCGAGTAAATAAATTGATTGTCATTTTGGTTTTCAACTATTTGAAAAAAAAAAACGGAATTCACAATTTTCTTCAACAGCTTTTCAGTTTAAATCCATTTATGGAATGTATTATTTTATATCTCGTTTGATTACCTGTTGTTTCACTTTTTAAGTTCCACATGAGCCACTTATTTTTGTGATATTTACCGCGGAAATGTAATTTTTTTTTACTTCACGATATTGGGATATTCCAAGTGGTAGACTACACCCTATATATATATATTGTCGCACAACTCACGTTGTAGGCGAAGTCAGCTCAGCTGAGTGTAATATCTTTGAACCCCTGACCACCGACCCAAGCCCGAATGCGACTGACTCGTCCAGCCGCCGTACGATCCGTCTACTTTCTGATCTTCGTACGTTTGTATCACCAGTTACCTCTTCAGTTACGTTACCTCCACTCCACCCTTCTTCAACACGAAATAAATAGTGAGCTTGCATCTCTCTTACAGTCGTAAGTACAAATGGCGTTTAAATGAAATTTTTAAGTCTCTCTGTGAATTTTCATTGTAAATCGAACACTGAAAGTGTGTGCCTAGAATAAGCAAAGTAATTACCTGTGTGTTACGTATTTCGTGTCTATGTAAAGTCGCTAAGTTAGCCATAAGGTTCGAACACCACCATTCACATCCAAAAAAAACGATAGCAATAAGTGTCTCTCTGAGCCCGTGACCATTAAAAGATAAAATCAACTATATCGTTCTTATATTTCTTCTCAAACAAACCTCAATACTTGTACCGAACTTGTACGAAAATGACCAAATCCTAGGTGTTTGAGCGCGGCCTAGAAGCGATCCCCCTCTCGGTAGATCTATGGATTCACTACCTGACGCACGTCAAGTCAAATCACGACGACGATGAGCAGTTTATTCGTGTCCAGTATGAGCGGGCTGTTAAGGCATGTGGCCTGGAGTTTCGATCGGACAAGCTTTGGGACTCCTATATCCGCTGGGAAAACGACTCTAAGCGCTATCATCGCGTGGTGCAGATCTACGATAGGCTTCTGGCCATACCCACGCAGGGCTATAATGGCCACTTTGACAAGTGAGTAACAATAATTTTTTAGGTTGTCATTAACTACAATTGAATTAATGAAAACTCTCTTCTAGTTTCCAAGATGTGATAAATCAGCATGCTATAACCAGCACTATTGGCCATGATGAGCTCATCCGCCTGCGTAAAGATTTCCATGAGCGTCAGCAAAGCAAAGCGGCCAAGTCCTCGTCCAAGAGCCGTCGCGACAGCAGTAGCAGCTCCAAAGACAAAGACTCAAAGGGCGACCGAGAACGAGAACGGGAGAAAGAGAAGGATAAGGAGAAGGACAAGGACAAGGAAAAGGAGAAACGAGTTTCAAGTGGCAGCGGTGCTGGTAAGTCGCCAAAAGATTCTATTGAAACCCATGTCGATGAATCAGAAAGTACTACCACCGATCTGACTGAAAGCGAGTCATCGCCTGCAGCCTTGAAGACAGCGCCCCCCCAAATCGATTTCAGTGATTTCGCCACGCTAAGTGACGAGGAGGTGGCTAGCATAAGGGATAGGGCTATCTCTACGCGGCGCAAGATTCACAAGGTGACAGTCAGCGCAGTGACTGCCCGCTGGTCCTTCGAGGAGGGCATTAAGCGACCTTATTTCCATGTGAAGCCGCTCGAGAGGGCTCAGCTCAAGAACTGGAAGGACTACTTGGACTTTGAGATCGAAAAGGGGGATCGCGAGCGCGTTCTGGTTCTGTTTGAAAGATGCCTTATTGCCTGCGCCCTGTATGACGAGTTCTGGCTAAAGATGCTGCGTTATCTGGAGTCGCTGGAGGACCAGACCGGAGTTATTGATCTCATTCGAGATGTGTACAGTCGCGCCTGCCGCATACATCATCCGGACAAGCCTAGTCTGCACCTGAAGTGGTCTGCCTTTGAGGAGTGCCAACTGAATTTCGATGGTGCCGCCGAGATCTTGCAACGTGTCGAGCAGCGTTGCCCCAATCTCCTGCAGCTTTCCTACCGACGCATCAATGTCGAGCGTCGGCGGGGAGCGCTGGACAAGTGTCGCGAGCTATACAAGCACTACATAGAGAGTACAAAGAACAAGGGGGTGGCCGGCACTCTGGCCATCAAGTATGCCCGCTTCCTCAACAAGATCTGCCACGATCTCGATGGAGGTCTAACCGTCCTGCAGCAGGCCCTGGAACGTGATCCAGCCAACACTCGAGTGGCTCTGCAAATGATCGATCTCTGCTTGCAACGCAAAAATGTCGATGAACAGGAGGTGGTTCAAATAATGGACAAGTTTATGGCTCGCGCCGATATCGAGGCAGATCAGAAGGTGTTGTTTGCGCAGCGCAAAGTGGAATTCCTTGAAGACTTTGGCAGCACAGCCAAGGGATTGCAGGACGCTCAACGGGGTCTGCAGCAGGCGCTAAGCAAAGCCAACGAGGCCTCAAAGAAGGGGTAAGCCTGAGACGATTTTTAATAATAATTTTATTTAAAATTTATTGATATTTCCCTTGCAGTGACAGCAGTCCCAATCGCAAAAGCTCATCGGCCAGCAAAGATGGTGCCGCTCCTGTATCTGGATCTTCTGCCTTTGCGGCAGCCTATAACAATGGTGGCACAGCTGCCACAACTGCCGCAGGCTACAACTATGGAGCGGCCAGTGCGTCCGCCTACTACGGTCAGCAGAATAGTGGAGGAGTATACCCTCCTCAGCCGCCGCCGCAGCAGCAGCAGCAGCAGGCTTCTTACGACTCCTACTACAGCCAATGGGGTTACGGATCTGGAGCAGCAGCACCTGGACCCAGCGGCAGTAGTAGCGGCGGCTACAACTATGGCCAATGGAGCGGCTATGGCAACTACTATTGAGACGCGACCACCCACCCAGACTCCTTGTACCTCTAAGACGCCCCCAGCTTGTTTGGTTTTGACCCTGCCGCGCTGTTCTGTTATCTAATAGTCGTCTATTTGTAATTTTATATTGATTCCACATTATGCATACATACATGCGGATTATGTAGCCGATTCTCAGCCGGAAAATAAAGAAATATAAGCTTAATCGGTTCACCATATACGCGTTGCATGTATTTCGCCAAGTAAATCCTTGGGTATGAGTCAAAAGTATGCCTAAATACAAAATAAAATTTACAATTTGTCACCACCGATGGGGAAAAGCCTAGAGATTGGGCCGATACCAGGTCACCTCGCCACCATTGCAACCGGTGACAAGCAATGGTTCCCTCGGGCTAAACTTGGCGCACAGCACTACGTCCTGGTGCTCGGTGATCTTGGCGAGCTCAACAAGCTTCTGGGGACGACGCTTCACCTCCTCGAACTTTTGGGATCTGGGATAGTCGCAGCAATCCGCACTGTAGCCCAGCAGGCGCACACCGTTTCCATACGGGGAGCAGACGATCCTACCGTCCGCCGAGAAGCCTGGCTCCTTGATGAAACCCGGCTTAGTATTGGTTTCGGCGGCATAGTAGAGCAGCTTCTTGGCATTCACCAGTATGGCATGGGCATTCTCCTTGGACGTGGCCGCTCCCGCATGTCTGATTACTGGACGCAAACGCAGACGATGACCGATCTCAAGTCGCACCCGGGTGTCACTGTTGCTACTACTACCACTACTGCTGCTGCTGTTGCTGCCGGGGCTGCTGCTGCTGCTGCTACTGTTACTTGAGCTGCTGCTGGTAGGGCTCTCGGAGGCTGGCGGCTGGCGTGCGCTGCCGTTGTTAACCATCAGACGACTGGCCGCCGAGGGCCGCAGCGGGAGCACGCCACTACTGATCGCATACACAAAGTTGTAGCCGCTGACGTGATTGTTAGAGTTGCGGGCCCGATTCTGGCGGATAGCGCGCTCCTGCACAGTCACCTCCGCCGCCCAAATGTCGGGTATAAAAGTATCCGGCCGCGGTGAGACAGCGGCAGGTGCTGCACCTCCGGCTAGTCTGCCCGATCCAGCGTTGTCCAAGTGGAAGACCTGAACATTTCCTATACGCAGCCTTCGCGGCGGTCTGGGTGGTAGTCCCTCGACATCTGGGTCTGGCGCTGTGGTGGAAGTGGAATCTCTTGACGCACTGTTGCGACTACTGACCGAGGAGTGCGTGCACTTCTTCTTGGCTTGCGGCTCCTCTTCCTCGCCATCGTCTTCGCTAACCACCGGCTCCTCATTAATGTCGTGGATGCATGTCCACTCGCTCTGCTCGTCGCAGCTTACGTTACGCGTCAGCATGCAGCGGCAGTGTGGGTGGATCTGCAGGGCCATGATCATCTCGGCGTCGTTCTGCTCGGGGAAGTCGGTGACCAGCTCCACGCGGTTCTTCTTCTGTCGCTTAGAGAACACATGGTCGTATTTGGCGGCCTGAGGGATGTACTGCTCGCCCAGCTGCATCAGGCGGTATATGCCAGGCTGCAGAGTAAACCAAATGGATGCGACTCTCGATTCGAAGAGGCAACTATACTCACTCTAAAACCGCACAGATCCTTGTGCAGCGTGGTCAGGTCAAGGTGATGGATGATCATTATGTAGCCGCCACTAGTGCAGAGGACCAGCTTATCCCCTGTGGGCGATATACGGCAACGCATCAGCCCGCTGGCATGGAAGACGCGCTGCGAGATCAGACCCTGCTCCGTGTGCGAGTTGATGTCCCATGTGAAGATGCTGCCATCGAAGCCAGAGCTGACAAGGAGCTTGTCCTTGGACGAGTACTCAATGTTCTTTACCCAGTTGGAGTGGCCGTGCAGGACGCGCAACTTCTGTTTCATGTTGCGCAAGTCCCACAGGGCCACTGTAAAGTCGTCGGAGCCCGTGGCGAAGAGTCGGTCGTCAAAGAATCTGAAAAGCCAGGTGCAGATTGCAGTTGGTACATAACAGACCCCCCCTCCCAGTGGTACTCACTTGATGCAGTTGACACTGTCGGTGTGTGCATCCGGAACCTTGAAGATCTCCTTCTGTGTGATGGCGTCGAACACGAGGACGCACTTGCGCTCGGTGGCGGCTACCACCACGTTGCCATCGGCATTGAACTCCAGGTTGAAGATGGCCCCGGTCTGACCGGCCTCCGTGGGCCTGCAGTTGGCGTGGTAGCTATTGAACATGTTCATCGAGCTGTATATCCGCCGCATAACGAAGTTCTCGTCCCCCGCATGGGTGGAGAACCCACTCTCGCGCCGGCTCAGGTAGCGCTCCATGGTGGGCCTCTAGATTTTCAGAGCTGGTGCCTCCAATAGCTGCTTAAATTGGGTGGAGGAGGCGAGTATTTCGCGATTTCTCTATTCGCGATGTTGAATTTTCCCGGAGGCCTTTCTTGTTTTTATTCTCGTACTGGAACGAGGGCTGCAAAAAAGTGCTGCGTGAAACCGATTTCTTTTTTTTTTTACAACTGAAGGCGATTGATTATTGAACGATTTTTGTTGTGGGTTTAAGGGATCAGGAAAACTAATCCGTTCTAAAAAATGTTCTTTACTTTTCCCCCTTTAAACCTTTTAAATATTAATATATTTTAATGGTTGATTAAATTCATTTTCCGTCCAGAATAAGCACACTGAACCAATGGCAATGTCTTGGCCTGTACTAAGAACAATAATGACCTAGAAGCCAAGGGTTTCTTAATTAAAACTAAAACAAATTTCATGTCTGAGAAAATATTTTTGAATGGAGCCAGTTGGAAACCACCGTTGCCAATTTAGCTATTTCCCCGCTAGAATAAATTGAAAGAAATTTTAAACTAGCGGGAAATATAGCTATTTTTCAAGCAAAAAGAAAAAATCAAGTGATATAAAAACAATTAAAATTTACCCAATGAAAAATTACGCCTACAAATAATTTAACATTCTGAAAAAAATAACTTCAAAATAGTTTCGAGACAGTTTTGTGAATATAAAAACTGCATTTATTAATAATTAATATACCAGTGTCAAAGCAGCTTCTTCAGAAGTTAGGGGGGAATGATAAAATATTTCAAATTTAACAGGTCCTTTCCAATTTGTCCAATTTACTTGTCTTATTTATTTTCAATTCGCGGAATTGGCAGTTTTAAAATTAGAAAAAATGTCAGTGTGCCCATCGGCATTTCCGCTGAAAATGCTGAATGTCCCAAACCAGGGCCTTTCATAGTACACACACTGGTTCACAGAACCCCCCCACACCACATGGCCTGGCCACATTGTTTCAGTGGAATAAACAAAATGCTGGTTCTTACCGAGATAAAACAATTAACTATGTAGAATTGCTACCCACTAGCACCGAGTGAACCTCTAAGAAACCGGACCAACATGGAACGGTTCGCTTTCAAGATCGACGCGGCGCTAAAGGCGAATCTCTACAAAATCTGCAGGCTGTGCGGCATCGACAATCCAGGAAAAGTGCAAATACTGCCGCAGAATGGGGACGACATCATTGACCTGGACGAGCCCAGTTTGTCGCAGAAGGTCTATGAGCTGGTCGGTTTTATGGTGGGTATGGTGCTAGTACTAGGCCTGGCAAATCTAAACCAACGCCCCTTTGCAGGTGTCCGGAGACGACAAAATGCCGCAGACAATGTGCAGCCTGTGTGTGGATAAAATCAATGATTTTTACGAGTTTCGAGAGATGTGCTATGCAACCAACAAACAGACCCGCAACTTGCTGGGACTGAAGGCGCTAGAGCCCGAAAAGGTGGGCAAAACATTTTAGATATTGGATTCGCATTTCTCATATATCATGTTTCCTCCAGCTCATTAAATTAAAGCCCGTAATCAAGGCGGAACCGCAGCTGATGGGGCCAGGAGGCAAACGAGGACGAAAGCGCAAGACGGAGGACAACTGGCCGAGGGCGAATCTAAGCGTGAAGACCCAGGTCAAGAAAGAGCCGGCGGCTTTTCATAAGAAGCTGCGACTTCAGCCGGCGTCATCAGCTCCCATAGAGCCCAAAACGGAGCCTGACATGTAAATAAAAAAAAGCGTTGCCACTAGATATGATAAGCTATAAAATTTCTATAAACTTTTGCAGCAAAGAGGAACCCGTTGAGCCGGAAACCAGTCACAAGGTGCCACCGAAGAAGGGCCGCAAGTCCATATGCAGTGTTTGTGGCGAGAAGTTCCTCAACAAGGAGCTAGCCGACGAGCACAAGAGCCTGGTTCACGTGCCCTCGATCCTGCGCTACGTATGCAACGCCTGTAACCAGACGCATCACAACCAGAGCGACATCCGCGCCCATCAGCTCTGGCACAAGCTCTCGAAGACGCCCTACAAGTGTCCCCTGTGCGAGGCAAGTGTGGCCAATGCCTATGCCTTTACGCGCCATCTGCGGGAGCACACCCCGCCCACACCCGTCCAGCTGCTCGTTCTGGATCGCGAGTGCCCGCTGTGCAAAAAGACCTTCATCACGAACTTCTTCTACAACACTCACCGCTGTGCCATCCGCAAGCGCAAGTGCGGCGGCTGCAGTCGCGCCTTGAACTCCGAGGCCGCCTACATGCGTCACGCCCCCACCTGTGCTAAGATTTACCTCAGTCACTCCAAACACATCATGCCCGAGGTGGTGACCAATGAGGCGCAGATGCGCATCACGAACGAGGTGGAGGATGACTTGCTTGGCCTGCCGCCGGCAACCGCTATGCCACCGGATTTTGTGATCGATGAGGGCATGCAACCGGTGGTGGTCCTGGAGCGGCTCTCCTCGCCCCTGCTACGAGCCTCGACTACTATTAATCGTCTGGGCGCCTCCAGAGGACGAAATAGCGAACGGGTTTCCGCTAAGAAATATTTAAAGAGAGTGGATCAGCTGCTCAAAAACACCATGAGCACTCTGGTGAGTATCAAGCATGAGCCAGAGGTGCACATTAGCGACACCGGGCCAACCAGTGAGCAGGTGGAACATGAGCCTGAACGAACGGAGCCCAGCTTCGGGGATGATGATGACTTCCATGCGGGCAACGACGACAGCGATGATGATGAGCAGGAAGCTGGAGCAGGAGCTGCTTTGGCCAGCGATAATGTGCCCAGTGTATCGGTCAAGCAGGAGCTCATTGACAAGGCCTACGAAAAGCAGATGGAGGTCAAGCAGGAGCCCCTGAAACTTAAGCTGAAAATAACGAAGAATCACGGCAAGCTGAACTCCTCGATCATAGATGATCTGGATGAGGCAAGTCCGGCGACTGGCAGGGGTGCCAAAAAGAAGAAGAAACGCAAACACAAAGAGCGGGAAAAGGAGCCGTCTCTAGGAGCAGAGGCAACACAGGATCAGGCCTTGGTTAACGTGAAACAAGAACCCGCTGACAACGATTACGTTCCCCGGGCCACTGTCATGACCACCATACCCATTAACCAGCTGGAAAGCAACTTCAATGAAAGTGAGCAGCACGAGGAACAGCAGGAGGAGACGCTCCCAATTCAGGAGGATGTCAAGCCCAATCGAATTGAGCTTGATCGCATGATGCAGATATCGCATGTGGCCAGTGGCGTGGACATGGCCGAAGAGGCTATGCCCTTGGAGAGGGAACAACAAGAACAAGCCGTTGAAGCCACGCCCGATCAGCCAGAGAAGCCCAAGGAGTCCCCGCCCAGCACAAAGCCCACGTCCGTGAAGTCTACGGCACGTAAAAGTACGGCAGGTGTTCAACGTAAGACACGTAATGAGATTCCAAAGGAGGTACCTTTGCCTCAAATAGTAGCCGTGGAGAGTGGCGAGACGGTGGTCTTCAACATGGTTCCAGATATTAACATCAAGCCGGAGCCTCGCAATCGCGGTTATGGAGATGATGAGCCCGAGGTCACGGAAGAGATTAATCATAACGAGAAGATGGATGAGGAGGATGCCTATATCGACCACAACAATGTGACTGTGAAGCAGGAAAAAGACCTGGACATTTCCCATGAAGCGGAATCCACGCACTGCAACGGACTGGAAAGGCCTGCCGGAAGCGAGGGCGATGACGATGACGATGGCCATGAAGACAGTATATCGTCTGCTGACGAGGCTGAGGAAGCCATGGAGGAGGATGAAGAAGTGCGCATTTATCAAGAAATCGAATTGCCACCATTGGAAGCTCAAAACGAAGCGGATAAAGCATCACATTCGGGACCAGAGGAGCCCGGTTTAACAGTTTCGGAGCTACCTCCAGACACAGCTTCGGAATCAACAGAAATCCCAGTGCCAGAATTTAGTTTGGTTATAACCAGCATCTGCAGTCAAGCAACACAGGACCTGACAACTGTTTCTGTAGATTTAGAGCCTACCCTTGACCATATTCCGGCTTCCACAACTAAAAGTCAATCTGCGGCAGGGCCACACGAAATCCAGTCCCCGACTTTGGATGGTTCCGTTCCAGCAGTTGAATCCCAAAGAGATGTGGGAATTAATCACTCCGCTGAAGGCCTGAATGCCCAGACCCCTGGCTCCAATCTGGCAGTTGAACATTCTTCTCTGGCAGTTTTAGAACCCCCAATGGAAGTCGTCGCTACTATGACAAATGAAGGTCAATCTAGAACAGATTTTGAAGCAAATCCTTCACCAGTTGAAGCTCAAACCGAGGGCAATACAAGCTCCATTCGAAAGGTGTCCCTGGAAAGTGAAAACTCTAGCATTGAGGAACTACCAGCCTCGGTTGAGAACCCACACGCTCATCCTTCCCTCTTTGAGAGTCAACCCGCTCCTATAAATGAGGTCGAGACTCTGCCAAGTTCTAGTTCTAATATCCAAGAGACAGGATCAACAGCAGCATCCCTCCCAGACACAAATCTAGCTCTGGAATCTCAGGGAAACCCAGAGGAAACCGGGTTTACATTACCAATGGTCTCCCTTAATGGTCCCAAAGATAATGAAGCTCAGGCCTTGCCAGGTTACGAGGCACCCAACTTTACATGCGCTGAGGAGCACCAGAACGTTCTCAACCATGAAATCTCTGAGCAGCAGCAGCAGCAGCAGGCTCCTCTCGATGATGACCAGCTCTTGCTGTATGAGGAGCAGCCGGCCACACTTGAAACTGGTCGGGAGCCATCGGAAGGGGAGGAGTGTAACCCAGGACCCTCGACGAGACCAATCGAGGAAACTGAGAACCGGATTAACGAGCAGCAGCAGGAATTGGCTTTGGAGGATCAACGGCAGCCACGCTGCCAGGCCAACAACGATGACTCCAATATCAACGAAATTGCCGAAAACAATAACAATGCCAACATTGAGCGTGAACTGCAGGACGACGCTTTGGGCGGAGCTGAGGAGGACGCTAATCCGTAGAGTAGGAATACCTAAAAGATTGTTCCCTTTGATTGTAAATATGTATGGATTTGTTGAGAAGGGGTTTGGGAAATGAAGATCTATCCCTAAACCACTAAACTTTGTACGAATAGAGAGCATTACTTTTAAGTTAGATATACACAACTTTATTACATAAATTAATGGCTTATATATATATTAGCATATGTAAGTATTATGTATTGAAATACATAAATCGCACAAAACTCGTCAAGACATGCGTACACATTAATCAAAAATCAATCGGCTCCAAGAAGCGCGTATTATTGGTTTTAGTAGTTTCAAAAATTTTAATAAAATACATATACGTAATATTCATTTAAAATACATACACACAGAGGAGAAATGACTACAAGTTTGCATTAAATGCACTCGAAACTAAACAGAAAATACTTGATTAATCGGATTTATTACGCTGCTTTGGCGGGGGAAGCCTTGCATACATCATCATCATTGCTTATATATTCAGCTGTTCTGTGGTTAGTTAATTATTATTTCAACAAGTAGAGACAATTAATTACTGAGCAAATTGTTGTAAATTTAGTGTACGGTTAATTGCGGGCAAATCTATTAGTTTAAACTTGTGTAATTGAACAATTGCCAACTGTGTCCTTTATTAGCAGTCACAGTTTTCTTTTAGTTTCCATTTTGTTGTAGATTTATAAAATATATTTGCTATAATAAATTTTTCTTCGCTCAGTTTACACGCTTTTTCAGTTCGCAGATAGGTTTTGTTTTGGTGTTCTCAAGTTTTTGGCACTGAAGTCTCTCTGAACAGGGTCCGCAAGTCATTCACATATATTATTGAAATATAACATATATAAATATGTCGTTCATATTTAATTGAGCAGCTTTATGGATATGCAAATGCGAGTCTAAACAAACGAAACCGGGCAATATCTGATCATCGCTACGATACGTTTAAATTAAAGAGGTATGAAAATTCTCTAACAGTATTTACAGGGATTTATCCAACGATAAACCAAAATGCCAAAGCACAAACTAAATTATTGCTTATTTTTGGAATAGTGTCTGCTCCCGCATCCCGTGTCATCCTTAGTCCCACTCGTTGTCATTATCCTCGGAATCGGTCTCATCCTCGTCAGAGTGTATAGCGTTGCCGCGTGCTGCCAGCGCCCGACGCAGGGCATCTGCTAGGGCATCGGTGCCGCCGCCATTATCACTGAGCCGCTGGCTGCCCAGCTCCCGTTCCTTGGCCGGTCTCAGTTCGATGCCCTGGCGAATGTCCTTCATCAGATCGCTGCGCGTGTCGCCGCTGCCAGTGCTTAGGGCAGCCGTGTCCACTTTCTGTTAAAATGAAACGAAAAAAAGTAGAATGAAAATCACACTTATATACATATACACTGAGAGAAAGTTTGACAATCAATCAGGTGCTTTTAATGCAGTATGTTTAGTTATCCCGTTATATATATATTAATATTGATATTTCCTGATGCCAGAAACTTACCTTGAGCGTTGTTCCCTTGCGTATGGCGTCCATAAGTTCGTTCCGTGGATCCGGAGCAGATGCCGCTGGCTTTGCCGCTTGATTTGGTGCGCGCGTTGTCGCAATGGCTGGGATCTCTCCCATTGGCATGGGCGGGGGCGGTGGTGGCGGCACCGCCGCTGCAGTAGGTGGTGGCGGCGGCGGAGGTGGAGGCTGCAGGGACACAAAATATAAATGAATGTCAACATATCCAATTCTACATATTTAGATGTCTTACCGCTACTGCAGGTGCACTGACAGGTGGCGGCGGTGGTGGCGGCTGATGGGTACTGATTGGTGGCGGTCTGCTGGGTGGCGGTGGAGCTCGCGTGGCGCCCGGCACAGTGGTGGGCACTGGAGGAGGCGGAAGTCTAGCCGGTGGCGGCGGAGGAGCAGTTCTTTGGTTACCATTCTGCGGCTGGAGAATTAAAAAAATAATTAAATTATATATAAAAATCACGTGCTAGAAATAACTTACGTGTTGATGACGACTTGGCACCGGTGGCGGCATGTGGGGCGTCGATTCCGTTGGGGATTCCACACTGTCCTGCTTCACCGTGGCCAGCACGTTGTTGCTCTCTATAAAGTCGTAGATGAAGGCGCGCGTGTCCCGATCCTTTAGCTGCACCTCCGAGACCCCAGCCTTGACGAAGAACTCATTCAGCATTTCGTCGTTCTCACTGCCCGCCAGAGCGAAGCCCTTGTCCGCATCCCAGCCCACATGGCTGATGTGCACAAAGTTTGTCGGCTGGCTGATGTCCGCCTTGGTCACCTTGCGCTTCTTGTCCTTGGCCTGGTTGCTAAGCCCGAAACTGCTGGATAGGAAGTTCTTTTGCGGTGCTGGCGTCAAGGTTACCGAGTTGATCTTGTTGTTCCGCAGCTGAACGTTGGCCCCATCCGTAGACGATATGCCGCCCTGCATGGCCGGCGGGCGACTCGTCTCCTGAGAAAAGGAATTCACTGGCACATTGGGTGCCTGCTGGCTTTTCTGGCGGTTTCGCTTCTCCTGTCGCTTCCGGTTGCGCGTCTCTATGGTGGTGTCCACAATGCGGAAGAAAGAGTCGCACTCTTCCTCGGATACAAAGTTCAAGCCGACGTGACCGTCCTGGAAATTATAATTATAATATTAAGAATAATAATTAAAATGAGATTCAATCTAGATCCTGCTCAATGCTACTTACACTGCCCTCAAAGGTGAGCAAGAAGGGCCTCGACTTGACCACCTGCATGCCATCGTATACTTCGTGCTCCCATATCAGCTCGTTCTTGATCAGGCAGTAGGCACGCATAAAATAGGACCGAATGGCACTGTCCTTCACGAAGCAAACGACGCCCGTGTGCCGCTTCTTCCAGTGGGCGTGGGCACTGCCCTCCGTTTTGTAGATCTGCACCACGGCGGTGTTTAGTGTCTGAAAGTAGAGCAGGCAAAAGAGATTGCGTTATACATGTGCTCATCGATAGAAAGGCCCTGGGGGGCGATTATCTAATCCAGCCGAACAAAAGGCTTCAACACCTTCAGCTTGCGCCTCATTTGAATGCAACGATCAATGCGACTCCGAAACTCAATGAACTGTCGTGGTCGAGCTCAAAAACTCATCTGACTTTCGGTTTCGCTGCTTTCTGGCCATCGGAGTCGACGGCCCCAAGTGAGTGTGGCTCATTTGAATACCGATTAGCTGGCCAGCCTGTCCAACTCTTGCAGCAACTGCAGTCGGGAGTTGGATGGCTAATCCCGGCACTTGGCATGGGTAGCACGTAGCTACCATGATGGTAGCGCATAAGTCTAGCCTCTGGACATTAGTCTAGAGACGACCCCAGCACCGAAAAGTGCGTGCTGTGCTAAAGCTGAAGTTCAACGGAAACGCATAATTGCAAGCACTGGAAAAAATTACTCCTATTTTATAAGAACCGTGTATTGGAAAGAGGAAAACTATGATATTATATTTAAAATATTTTAATATATACTATAAATATAAAATGTGCCGTTTTGCCACAAAAATATTTTGAACAGTGGGTCGTTTTTCACCGAATTAACCTTACCCCCTTAACCGATTTTCGTGTCAAATATATTTTCATAAAGGTCTAGACACCTGTCCCTCAATTATGCCTGAGTTTCTTTCTGTGTATAAGTTTATATTGCTCGTTTATGACCCAGACAGGAAGTGCTGGCGACAACCGAGGAAGTACCAAAGATTTGACGCATCAGAATACTTGCCAAAACCATGATATACTATAAGCTGTATCCTTTTGGCGCCAGAGAAGTCAAGGCAAACTGTCCTTTATTTATCGATACCGTCGTGAGAAAGCCTGCAAGGCCACAGAAATTACTTGCTGTTCTTTGAAAAAACAAATAAAAGTGAGCGTGTGTACTTTGTGGCCATAACACTTGGCATTTGGTCGAGGCCAAAGCGTGACCCTCTGACCGGAATCGTTGCTAATTGATTCATCTGGTCGCTTCTAAAGGCGGCCCTCCAAAAGTGTCATGTGCTGGCAATTGAAACACTGCAGCTGAATTACAAAACCAACATTATCAATTAATGGGCATTAGAGATGAGCACGGATGGGTGTCTCGATGGATGGATGGATGGACGGATGGATGGCCATGCAGAAACGTTTGCAGCCTGACCTTTGGCGTAAATAAAAGAGAAAGAGACATTGACGAGCGGATTATGTGAATGGGGATGTGGATGCTTTCCAACCCACACACACTTGCGCTCAACTCGTATCTGGCAAGTGCGAAATTGTGAACACATTTGAATTTTTATTGATGCTTAGCTGCTTTTTACCAGCTTCGCATGTTTGTAAGTCTGTGTGTTTGTATGAGTTTGTGTGGACATAAGTAGCATTGTAAAATGATGTCTTGCCTTCTACGTACAAGCTTGCTGTTTCTTTTTCAAAAAAGCATTAAAATCGATGGAAAACCAGCGACAACAAAAAGTGGTCATTGCCACCGAGAGCAGGGGCTCAGAGAGAGGGAGAGAGAGAGGGGAGGGTCTTAGCGGTGAAAATTAACCCATATGGGCCAAGCGGTAAACATGCTCATACGCCCTGTGGTCTCTTTATTATGTCACACACATTGTGAATATTTATTTACCGAGCAATCTGCCTATAGATAGTTTGCTCTTTTTTTTTTTTGCAATATATTTAAAGAATAATAAGCTATTTATAGATATTAAACATTTATAGAGCGCCACTTCCGTTGTTTATAAAATTCTTTGAAAAGCAATGGAATTTGCTAGCCACTGTGAAGCCAAAGTAAAGGTTCAAAGCCTGACAAAAGCCCATCGTAAACATAAACATCTATTAGAAAGTCCGGCTTTGGGGGGACTGGCAAATGTGCAGAAAATGCGTTAAATAAGTGTATACAAATAAATGCGAGCAACTGTTGCGACAAACGACTGCCAAACCACAATAACAACATCATCGGGTTTACAGAGCTGCAGCTTCGAGCATTATCACACGATGAATGTGACACTATGTCATCCACAACAAAGGTAGGGTAGAGTGCACGGAAAAAAATATATAGCATGACGATTGATTGAATGACTAACATGATCTTGAAAGATATTAGTTAAGTATGAATGTTCCTACTGAGAATATATTTAATTCATGATGCCATAATGCTGAATTATCCTCGAACAAACAAATTTATGTTTATAAACATTTTGCTACAACATTGCGACATGACTTTCTCAGTTGTTGAAAACTGAATTTCTAAGTTAAAATCAGCCTTAAGGGGGGATATACATGTAAACCAAAATTTTTTTGGCAAATTTTTTTTTTGGTTTAAAAAATAGCTTATTACTTAAAGAACATACTTTGAAAGTTTCATTATCGAATTCCAACTTTAAGTGCCTCAAATCAAGTATGAACGCAAGGTATACAAGTGTAAACGTGGGCGCATCAAAAACTTTAAACGTCTTTTTCTCAGCTTTAAATTCTTGCATTTCTACCTATGCTATGGACACGATTCACAAAAAAATACGAAACATATCGGAGTGAATCAAAAATTATTATGATCAGCATGAAATTATCTTCTATTTGAACCTACATGGTTGTTATAAAACTGAGTATTACTATTTTTTAAGAGGGTGGGAAGTGAAAACTGATCACCTAAAAATGGCATTTTTTCCTTAAGCCTAGTACTCTGACGAGAAAAACCCGCTGTCTAAATTAGACAGCGGAATCGCTGTTTATTTCGCTACCGAGCTAGTGTGACCAAAAAAATTAAGGAAATTCCATGAAAATGTACTTTTTATGGCGTTTAAGGATTTTCCTTGGTCACACTGGACAGCTGTTTGTAAACAAATATTCAAAAAAAATATTAAAAATATTAATAAATATGGCATTAAAATGTCCTTTGTGGGTTAAATTCCATATTATGGGCTTCCCCTTGACAGCCCCTATCAATGCCACCTTTTTCCTTCAACTTTCCCTCCATTAGGGGTGTCTAAATAAATCAAATGAATTATTTAGACAGCGCGATATCAGCTGTTTACTATCTTGATCTGGCAACGCCATTAAATTTTCGCAGGCTTCATTTTCGTCGTCAGAGTACCGAAAAAAACGACGTGTCTAAAAGTTCTTCTTCTTTTTTTTCGACACCGTTTTTTTTATATGGAGTTTGGCCGCTGTCTAAATTTATACAGCGGTTTTTTCTCGTCAGAGTACTAGGCTTTAAAATCAAAATTTAATTTTTTTGTCTTGATTTCTTTTTGGTTTTTTAGGTTCAAATAGAAGATAAAGGTGTAATGAATACAAAAAAATTTAGTTTGCGGATTTCGGACAGGAATTACGAGCTCTATCGTGTCCATAGCACGGCAACTCAAAGCTCGGGGCGCTACGGCGTATGTTCCATAAATCCGCCATTTTGTAAAATATTGTTTATAACTTATTTTTTTTATCATCTTTGATTCTACTTTTAACTATCTCCAAAGTTTCATGACGATTGCTTGACTATTTCTTATAAAATAAAATTCACGAAAAATTGCCAAATTTTGACCGTTTATATGTATATCCCCCCTTAACTGTAAACAATATTAGATATTTTGATTTTTGACTTCTAAATATATAGTTGATAGAATAGTAGAAAAGCCAAAGATAAAATCAATCATCAATATGCAAGTTCCTTTTTCTCTGTGTAAAAATGAAAATGTAAAGGCTAACTACCTTAACCAGCGACTTGCATTACTTTGGCAGAGTTCAACTGCATTTGGAAATGTTTTGTCAATGGAAAGTTGAAAAATTAGCAAAGCGTGAATTGCGAATCAAAATTAGCGATTTTTTCATGTTGTGCACACCATAATTATCCGCATAACGGTAACTGTTAAATGGCCACATTCCAGTTTTCCACTACCACTCCAATTTCAGGGCATTCTTATCGCTGCTGGCATTGGCCAGCGGTGATTCGCAGCGGGCGGATGGAAGGATTGATAAGATAAGGTTCGCTTGTATTTGGCCACAAATGCCTAACGAGTTATCGCGACCCAATAGAGCGAGCAAACGAACTTCATCGAGTTGGTTTCTCTTTCACTTTGGACAGAAATCGGCTGTGTCAACCCAATAATAATAGGAAAATGAAAACAAAATAAAATAATGACTCGTGAAAAGCAAACAACTGCCGGCCCGCCTATCAATGCTGGCTCAAGCGGATAGCTGATAAAACTACTAGTCAATGTTAGGTAAATATGTGTAAGAACAGCAAACAAATGGTTTTAAAAACACTGTCCAGCCTAGCTTAAGATTATGCGAATATTACTGAGAAACTCAAAATATAATCAGTGTTTGATTTGCCTTACTTGTGCGTGAGTCTTTAATGCTTTCTCATAATGTGTAATGAGTCAGTGGGCAATTCCTACATGTATTTTTACATAATAAATATCACTTATCCCACAAGCAACCGCGAGAGAAGTAGAGATTTATCAGGCACTTGGTACAATTAATCATTTATTTATATTTAGTATTAAAGTTTTAAGCCAACTTGTATTGTAAGTTTCTAAAATATTCGGACGGTTTTACCAAAGATAATAACTGGTTTTCTAAAGGTGCTTATGAATCATGCATTTCGACATTTCTTGATACAATAAAACATTACCTCAAATTGTTTCTGTAAGCAATTTAAAAATAACCCTGAATTTAAGTAGATTCCTTAGAATTTAAGTAGATTTGTTTATGAATTTAAGAAAATTTTTTTGTTTGTATATTTATCTTTCTTAAATATATATTTTTCCCAACATAATCTGGTTCGACTCACGTAGTAAAAGAGTTTGGCCATTTCCTAGAACTTTTAAAGTTTCTTCTTACGAATATGTATTCACTAGATAGCACATAAATTATAAAAGAAAATGCCATTAGATAATGCTATGACATCGTTTAAGTTGAATTTGGCGAACAAACCAGCCACTAGCAACAGCTGTCGACCGATATTGGGTTACACTTGGGTAATACTTGAGCCACAGGAAGTGCTTCATCAAGCTCTGCTGTGAGAGTGAACGAGGAGCATGTTTCTGCGTAATTGTTTATCCCCCAAAGCTTATGCATGATCACTACTCACCTGACACTTTTTGCCCAGCAGCCGAAAGACTGCGTCGTTCTCATCCTGGGTAAGCAGCGTGCTGGCGGCATTGATCTTGGCCCGGGGCAGCGCTGCTGCCTGTTGACCGTCCTGCGACCTCATACCAGTGCTCATTTAGCCGGGGTCTGGTCCGTCCGTCTGGGTATGAGTCTGGCGGTGGAGCTTTAGGCTTTGGAGAGCTCGTCTGGTTGCCCTGCATAATAATGGGGACAAGGGAGCACACAACACGAATTTATTGTACGGCGAAAACAATACGCAAATAACGGACACCAATGAAAAGGGCACAGCGAAAGAGCGCAAAACAAAAGATAAATGTATTAATTTAATAATACAATACAAGCACAAGAGCCAATGAGGTGGGGACCCCAAAAAAGAAGCTTGATAGCTTGATAACAATAAGCACACAGACACACACACACGCCCGGGGGGAATTGCGAAAATGTATTGAGAATCGATTTTGATTCGTCTGATTGGGGCCTCGATTTTAAAGGGGTAACACCAGTGTCAGCGTTGAAAGAAACCCTAAAAATTGCTTTTAAAAATATATATTTATCAATATTAATAAGGGTATATTTGATACTAAACTATAAATGAGGCAAAGTTAACTTTTAATCTTACAAAAATACACTATAAAGATGTGACAACTAGTACTTTTCTAGCTCGAAAGCTTTGTAAATAAAACTATAAAGTTAATTTTATAGTTAAAAGCAATAGGGAACAGATAGTGGGTTTAATTTTATAAAACACACTTATTTCGTGGTAAATAAAAGGCTTCAGCACGACACTTTTGATGCTACGTGACAATTTTTAGCAGCGTGTTTCAAATTAAATTCAGAAAATCTCAAAAACTATATAGACTTGTTGTTTTCTGGTGTTACCCTTTAATTTTAAATAAGCTTTGGAACTAAGAAATGGCCAAGAGCCCGAACTGTGCTGGCTGTGACGACGGTATAGCTAACTCTGGCTGCCGCGGAGCAGATGGAAACGGATCGGATCGAGAGAGGTTGAGTCACGGGTGCGAGTCAGCCGCAGAAACCGAAACAGAAACAGTCGTCAGCCAGCTGCGTTTTACTGTGGGAATGGGGAATAATGGGGCAATGCGGAGCGAGGCAAACTCTTTGGCTGCCGATGGCCCTTATCTTTGGCAAAACCTCTGATTAGCCCTGCTGCGCATGTATCGGTGTGCTTTGCGTGGCCCACACATACAGACGCGCGCACACAAGGCCCGAGTTATTCAACGCCCTAACACTTGAAGATGCGGACTGTGACAACACCTGTCCGCTAGCTCGCTCGCTGGCTCGCCAGGTGGGGTGGCGGCCGTTGGCCATGTAAATAGACGCGGGAGAGTATTGGCTGCTGGCTCAAGGTCCCGCGCCGCCCGCGGGGGAGCACTCGAAAACGCGGAGGGCGCCCCTTGCAGGGGCCATTGATTTTTTGCGTTTATTTTCGTGCACTTTTCACTCTTTCACTCTGCGCTACACACCACACACACTCCCAATCCGCTGGCTCTGCTCGCTGCTAAGTCTCCTCTGGGGTCTCGGCCACTACGTTCGCTGGCGGGGATCTTTACTGGGCGCGCGTCCGCGTCATCCGTGGCATGTCGAGGGTTTTCTCGGGAAGATTCGCCTGTTTAGTCGCGGAACGGACTGCCAGTTTGTTTATTACTCGTTTTTTTTGCACGATAGGGATGTGAAAACTACATCAAGTTATCGATATCGGAACGTCGTGATTTTCTTCATAGTCTGGCAGCACCAAGGCCATGAAAGATTTTAGTGTGGCCAGATAACCCCATCTATTGCAGCATTAATAAAGGAAAAGCCCTTGGGCACACTGTACATTAAGCGCAATTTTTGAAACTCAATAAAATATATTTGAAACTGCTTCGTATTTATTTATTAATATAAATCGTTAAATACAATTAAAAACTGATTCTCACCAACGATTTCTTCGGCGACTGAAACTCCTGCTTGGCCAACCTCAGCAGGTGGAACATCACTGCCAGGAGGCCCGTGCCCAGTGAGTCGCCCACGGCGGTCAGATATGGAATCGCGGCCGTATCCGGATCTATTTTGCAGTGCCAAAGCAAATGGACCAAAGCATGCGCCAGCCACAGCAAGATAAGCAGTTGGATCAGGCTAATGACCAAGAAGGCGACTACGAAGGTCCATTTGGCAGCCAGGTAGGAGAAGTATATGTAATCCGCCAGCAAGAAGAGTACCGCATTGCCCGGCACTGAGATGGCAATGAGAATGCGAACCACGCGGGAGTAGACAGTGCCACGAAAGTAGATTCGATGTGGCCACTCCAGAATCCGGGTATCTCCAGGCAGATTGCCCAGATCGGACCGCATGTACAAGACGCTGCCCATGTGACTGGCCTGCACGGAGACTAGGTTGCCTCCGATCCCATTTATAATAGGCGAAAAAATGGCAAAGGCGCGAAAGTCCTTCACGCAAGAGCTAAGCACGAATCCGGCGACCTGGCTAATGCACAGTGCCCCGATCACGGGTATCCAGCTGATCCACAATATGGGGCGCACATAGACGTTCCGGACCGCCAACAACAGCCAAATGGGCAGTAAAACGACCAGGTAGATGACCACCACGCAAATGCTGATCCAGCTATATGCCTCGGACAGGCTATTTATCGAGGCTGCCGTAAAGGAGAGCACGCTGATGGTCACCACGTCGCCGAGGGAAGCCACGATTGGTATGGCCATGTAGTCCGGATTGAAATGGTAGCGGCTTGAGAACAGGACAATAACCATTAAAAAGGAATCGAGCAGAAAGCAGGAGAAACTGGAGGTGATCAGAGCTGCCGCTGCCAAGAGAGGGAAGTGCTTATAGTTATGCTTCCGGTTCACCGCAGTGCTGACCGCCACCGTCATCAGGCTGAGCAGCAAGGCACAGATGATGGCCTGCAGCTGAACGAGGGCCATATTGCCGACGACTATCTTCAGCACTGTCTTCCGGTTGGACAGATCGCCAATATTGGAGTGGGTGCAAATGCGCGAGGCCACGCACATATCCAGGTTACCTTTCAGGCCGCATAGCACGGATACCAGGACGAAGAGTTCGTTAACGTGAAGGTAAACCGTCCAATCCTGCACTTTGCCTAGCATAAGTCCGGCCGTAATCGTGCCCAGGCCGGCCAGAAAAAATGGTATTACAATTTGAAAAAGCGTGGAGTACCATCGTTCCTTGGAAAGTTCTTCAGAGTCCGCCTTGGTTGCCTTTGATTCTTCATCATTGGTCATCGGATTTTAGGGCTAGATCGATGATTCAACAAGAGAATAACGAAATATAATTATTTTTATTTTACGTTTCAGATCGAATTTCAAGGCTTTAAAAAAATTGAAAAATTTGGAAAAATGTTTGAATGATAAAATCAGCCACTTTGAATCAACAACAAAATTTAACTCATCTGTTAATTAAAGGATTAAAGCTAATTTTAATTTTTTTAAATTACTTTCTTACCTTTATTATAAAAGTTATCTTTTAAAACTCCCGAATTCCAAGAAAAATACTCTCACATTTGTGTTTCTGAAAAGCATATTTCTTTTTATTATTCTTTAAAATGGTTAATCGCCTTAAAACGGTATAAACAAAGTCGCAAATTATTGGCTTAATGCAAAAAGCTGCTCTCTGAAACTCGTTCGTTTACTTAAGCTAAATTATTGTAAAAGAATACTTAAAAAGCTGTGACTATAAAAAGTGATTTTCTTTTTTCTTTAAATATTTGGTTTTTGCGTAAGGAAGGGCCAAGGGCCTATTAAACTTAAAAAATAATCCCAAAAACGGTAATGACTTCGGGCCAGATACCTAAAACACTTGTGCAATTAAACGATTGTAATAGGTTTAAGTAGTCGCCCACTAAACTTTACGATCCCGCGTGATCTTCGTGACCTTCTAAGTGTAAGAGTAAAATCAAAATACATATTGGACTGGGTAAAACCTTGCCTTGTGTCAAGTCGAATATATATCAATTACATATATGCCAGTATACGTCTTGTATATATAAGAGAGTTGTACATACACTGAAAGGCCTGATCTATGCAATACATTTGGCTACACACGATCGGGAGCTGCAGAGAGAGAGAGCTCCCTTTCTGACTGTGATTTGGATTAGTTCAAGTTACTAGGAGTTTGCGCTAACTCTATGCTAGACTGGTTGCTTACAAAGTTTAGGACTACGTATATATTATATAAAGAGGGAGAGTAGAATAATATGATTACATAGTATTATGTATGTATATTGCCTGCTAGCCTAAAATTCTTTGATTTCAACTCTGACTCTTGTGGATGTGGACTGCGTGTGCGTGATCCGTTCCCAAAAAAATACAAATACAGTCCTGTTCCTATTCGGAATCACTTGGCCAATCTTGTGATTATGTAAGGTAAGCGGATATTAATTGCTCTCCACTTATTTGCGGGCTCCCACCACCGGCAACTTGGACTTTACGCCTCCCCCGCCAGCGGCTCCATTCGGCGTGTTGTCGAATGTTGAGCTGCGCAGGAGCGTCGGTTTCTTTCCATTGGCATTGAGCGTACTGGAAGATTTCGTTTGCTGTGTTTGTCTAAGGTTGGACGACGGCGACGATTGCTTTGTCTTGGCCTCGTCCACTCGCTTCCAGATGTTGGCTATGCGGCTTTGGGCCTGGTTGATCTTCACAGCTGCTGCATTTAGGTTGGAATTGCTACGTGATGGAGGGTTGGAAACTACACGAGAGCCAGCCGTAGTCTTGGTCCCAGCCAAGCGCAGACTGGTATTGGCCCGGACAGGGGTCACGCGACGCACGGGCGCTGAGGCAATTCTCTTGGGCGAGCCAGCTTTGGCCGGCGAATCACCTCCGGCTGCGGTCTTCTTGGTGGGCAGCTTTGAAGCCCTATGACCAGGGCTGGTTTGAGGGGGTTTCGCCTCCACAACGGGCACTTGTTCATTGGAGTTTGTGGGCTCATCCTTGACAAATGTTCCCTGGCGTTCCAAGCGAGCCGGAGGAGGTGGCAAAGCCGCTTCAGGTGGTGGCGGCGTTGACTTCTTTTTGGCTGGCAGCCTTACTCCCGTTACTCCCGCCACCACACTGCGCTTGGCAATCGTTGGCGACAGAGTCTTCTTCTTGGGCGTGGCTGCCGTATTGCTACTCCGTTGACTCTGCATGCTGTAGGGCGAGACATAAGCCGGCTTTTTGCGACCCCGGACCAGCTTCACGGCCGTAGCGGGCTCCAGGGTTGTGGGTTTGGCCTTGACTTCTACTATTGGAGGCGGAGGAGGTAACTGCGTTGGCTCCTGGCCATCACAGGACTCCGTTTCCGAGTTCTGATCGCACTCGGGGGATTCTTCCACATCGCCTGCAGGCTCAGCCGGCTCCACCGAAGTCTGACTCTGTCCAATATTGATGTCCGTGATGTAGGTAAACTGTTGCATCATCGCTCTAATTGAGGAGAGCTGCTCGCTGGGGCAATCATCTACATAGGGCTGCTGAATCAAGGCCCGGGGGCACTCAATCAACTGGGTCTTGTATCGCTCGGCACTGCCCCGCCTCCGGCCATTGGCGCGGGGTGATGTGGTGGCCACTGGCGCAGCTGTCTCCAGAATCTCGATCTGAAGCGTTTCGTTGACCTCCAGTGCCTCCATATCGCTGCTGGTGGTGGCTATAGTGTAGGTCTTGTAGCGATCCTTGGCCAAGCGACGCTTCTGCTTTGGGGTAAGAGAGCGGCGATTTGGCGAGGGAGTGGATCCCTGCTTCGGAGTGGACTCTGCCGAGCTGTAGTCATTCATGGTGGCGTCTTCGTCTTCGTCGAAACAGCTCTGGAGCACTGTGAGCGTTTGATCATCGCAAGGTGCCGTCTCATAGTTGGACACCGAAATGGTAGTGGCCATACTGCAGTCCTGCTCACCATCGGCCACCTCCGACTGGATGCTGTCCACACTGATCATGGAGTCCAGCAGCTCGTCCATCAGCGAGGGCGGTTTGATGTTGTCCAGCAGATTGCAGCTGGAGTTCACGCTCTCCGCACTGCCCGCCAAGTGGCCAAGGGCTCGTCTGGCCACCAAGTTGGCTGGAAACATTTTGCGAGCGAATCGGGGACTCTTGCTCGGCAGTTGCTGCTGGCGCAGGGAACTGGGCTGGGAGTGCTCCTGATAGCAGCTATTCAGCGATTCCATTCCCGACGGCGGACGCACATTATCCAGGTCCAGGCTGTTGATGCTGAAGGTCATTTCCGTGTTGTCAATGTCCGTGGCATCGGCATCGGGCTGGAGGAGATTCTCTGCCAGAGCGCGCGCCTCGAAGGCTATCATGGTAGAGTTGGTCATCATGGAGGCACTGGTTCCATTGAACAGGAGCCTCTGAGCAGGTTCCAATCTCACACCGGCATTTTGAACCTGACCGCCTAGCTGGAAGTTAAGGCCTCCCGAGGATCCTGAGTAGCTGTCGCACTGCCCGTTTACCAGGGTATCCAGCGATACCGGCTGCTCATTCGTTGGCGTGATCTCCACCAGCTCTTTCAGGGATTTTGCTTCTGTGATGTCATCATCGAGGCTCAGGGAAGCCAGAGCAGGAGCCGTTTGGCTGACACTGGGGAAGCTCACATCATTGGGACAGGTGTGCTCATTCCAGGTGTTGTTGTTACTGCTGCTGGTGGTGTTCTTGTGGCTGTTGCTGCTGCTCCTTAACTGCTCCGCCGACGTAACAAACTCCAGGGTCAATCTCTCCACAGATTTGAGCATTAGGTCAGGGTCCTTGTGCCTCTCATTGGCGCCAGAAACGGAGGTTTCATTGGGCACACTGTCCAATCTGACCATGGTGTCCAATATGAAGGACTGGTTGGACTCATCGCTGGAACGATCCTCTACGTCCAAGTCTTTAGACCCAATAGCGGTCACGGGACCGCTCTCGAGCTCGTTCCCGCTCTCTTGATCTGGAACTACTTGACTTCTTGCCGTGTCGATGTCGGTGGCGGCGATAGGATTCGGGTTGAGGCTGCTCGGGTGCAGGTGCGGATTGCTGGTGGCGTGCGCTTTCTGCTCTACGTCTGGAGCTGCTGTGCTGAGGGCACTTGCTGATGTAGTAGCTGCCATTGGGTGACACGGTTCCAATGCAGCTGCAGACGTAGCCAGGACGTTTTTTGGCACGGTGCTGATCTTCTTGGAGATGCCCGTATTGATGCATTCCTGCAGCAGCTTTTCGTCCTTGCGCTCTCGCTCCCGCTCTCGATGATGATGATGATGGTGGTGATGGTGATGCCGCTGTCGCTTGACCTGTCCACTGGATGGCAGCTGTACTGGCAGCGAGTCGAACTGCTTGAGATTGGGATCCGATTGAGTGGAGGAAGCACCACTAATGGGCTGCTGTTGCAGTTGCTGGGACCTAGCTCCGGGCTCCTTGGACTTGTACATGCCCTTGAGAATGCACAGCTCGAAGAGGGACTTGGACTGGTTGTCGTTTGAGTCACTAGAATCCACGGAGCTATACGACTCCTGCTGCTGGTGCTTGCGAACGGTCATGGCCGAGTTCAAGGAGCTGGCTGAAGTGGCCGCATTGATGGCTATGGGCTGCGAGGAGCTGAGCGAGCTGGAGCGCTTGCCGTTCGAGCTGAAGCCAAGATTCGATTTGGGCCTATTGCAGCCAGCGGCAATAGCCTGGAAAATAGGGATTATATATTTTTAAAATAAATTTAAATAAATTTAGCTTAAGTTTGCTTACCTGACTCAGTAGATTGGTGTCATCCTCCGAGTCAATAGAAAGGGAGCTCAGCGAATCATCTTGCCAATGCGGCGGGCGTCGAACTTGATCTTGTCTGGGAGCTGGTTCGATGCCAGGTGGCTTTGGATCCCCACCAGATCTAAGAGAAAACATAAATATTAATCATTTCCAGTTTCAGTCATTCTAAAAAATTATTCCTTACTTAAACCAACATTTTATATTAAAACAAAACATTGTCACAATAAAGTAAAGCCTGCTTTATTCTTTTTTCATTACTTACCCCTGGTTCTCCTTGAGCTGCACCGCTGGTCCCACCAGGCTGGAACCGACTGTAAGATTTGAGAGGCCCGAAGCCACAGAGAAATTGCAGGGACTGTCTTCGACCAAGAACTTGTTAATCTCATCAGCGGAGGGCTGGTAGCCCGGCAGGTTGTTGCCACCGCGTCGGAGCATGGCGATGGGATCGGGACTGGCCTCAGAAAGCGGTTTTTGCATGCCATCGCGGATGCACTGCTGCAGCAGATGACCAGCTGCCCCGCCACAATCTGAGGTATTTGAGGATACATCATCGGAAAGCTGATGAGCGTAGATCTGTGCGTGATCAATGACGACATCCTTGGGTTCATTGGAACTCAAAGAGATGGCCGAGAGATTGGTATTGCTGGCAACCTTGGAGAGAAGCGCCGGTGTATCTTCCGTACAATAGCTGCGAGTGGTTTCCTCAACCACACCAACTTCGTTATCCACTTGCCCGGATGTCACAATCTCTGCCGGCTTACGTTGCATGCCCATGTTAATGCAGTTGGCCAGCAGAAGTTCGTCTTCGTTGTCTTCCTCCGCCACGCTCTCGGGGGCCTTTTCATCGTCCACGATGCTGAGGTTACTCAAACTGGTGGCCGTGGAGAACTGGGCCGGCGTGTGCTCCACATTGAAGCTGCTCAGGTCATCCTCAAAGACGCTACGCAGTGGCCGCTGGCTGGAAGAAATCGGAGCAGGTGAGGCCATAACATTCACCCCCAAACCAGGGTCTGCCCCACTATTCCGTCTCGGCGACTGTGGCATACTCTGCGTGGGGGAATCTGGAATCTCTGAGGGGGAAATAACTCCACTGGCCAGGCGACTGAAGTCACTAACCACTGAGCTCTTGTCATCGCAATTGGCCACGTCCACATCGGGATCGTGAACTAGCGAATCCATGGAGCTGCGGCGCGAAAACATTAGCGGAGTTTCCAGAGCAGAACTACCCTGGGTAGCGGGCTTAGCGAGACTTGGAGGGGGTTCCTCTTGCTTTGATGCCTTAGCCTCGATCCCTACAGGTGCCTGGTTGGCTTTGCCCACCTCATCCAGGCTGCTCAGGGAGTCATAACGGCTGAAGTAACCGGGTGTACCCTCCTCGCAGTAATTTATAGGTTTCTCTGGCGTATAGGAGCCTGATCCGCACGAGAGCTTGGTGGACTTCTTGGAAGCCTGTCCCTTGGTAGCCACATCTCTCACCTCCAGTTTCGGCTCCACCTCAGCCTCGGCCTTAACAGCCGATCGTAGATCGGTAACAGAAGCTGCATTGGATATAACATAGGGAGTGTCCTCGGTCTGGTAGCACTTGACGCTGTCGTCTAGAATCAAAAGGATCTCCTGACCCTCGACTTTAACAGGTACTGCCTCAGCCGGTGTTGAAGTATTCTTCGAAGCGCCTGCAGATCCTGATATGTCCAGGTCGGATTCAATTTGGTTCTCCGCATAGCGCAGGCTAAAGTCCGTGGGCTGATCAAGGTCCGTCTCTTGATATGTCGAGGTCTTTGTGGCACTCTCGCTGTATTTGACCGAGTAGTCGATGGGCTGCTCCTCGGTGACCTCTGTGTCCTGTTCCATTTCCAGCTCAAAATCAGTGATCTTTGGCTTCATCTTGCGATGGGCATCCGAGGCTGAAGCAGAGCGTATGAGATGATCGTAAGCGGAGTCCGACTTGGCCGAGTAAACTGAGTCCCGGCTCTCGCTCTTTGTGAGCATGGCCGAACGAGTTAAGCGGGGCACAGCACGATGGCGTCCAGAGGAGCTGGAAGTCCGTTCTTTGGCCAGCTTACCACCAGTATCCAAATTATCGCATGTCTCCGCGGTATGCCGCTCGCCAAGCTCCTGCTGCAACGCCTTTGCCTTGCGAGCCTCCAAAGTGGGTAAAGCCTTCAGTCCCATGGAACGGGCAATGGGGTCCAGCTGATGTTGGTTTTGGACCGCCGGGCGAAAGTTCAGCAGATTCTTTAAAGCCGACGAGCTGCCCTCTGAGATCATGGCGTGCTTAGAGTGGATTAATGAACGCAACATCGGCACTGCCCCATTGTCCCAGAGGAACTTCTGGTCCTCGGGGGAGCGTGCCGAGAGGTTCCACAGGGTGCCGCAGGAGTTACTGACCACCGTCAGGCTCTCAGACTTCAGTTGCTGCAACAGGATGGCCAGGCAGTTGTGCTGGCGCAGGATCTGTCGATATGGTTCACACACAGCAATGTGGCTGGATACGTTTCGCAGGATGCCGCCAGCGTTTTCGATAATCTTCAGCGTTTTACTTGGGCCTTCATAGCTCAACATTCCAACTAGGAAGGCCAGGGCTCCGTCTACAGCACAAAACTCGGCCTTGTTGGTGCTGCAGTGCGCCGAAAGATTCCACAAGGCCGACAGGATGGCCTTTAAAGTGTTCTCACTCTTATTACGCATGGCCGCCAGGGCCAAGGCCGTCACCGTGCCAATCTCATTGAGAACCGCCTTCATATTGCTGTCCGCACGCCAGGAAAGGTTGCGCAGCACGCTGGCCGTCACCTGAAGGAGATCGTCTGGCGCCGAGTCCAGCTGGGCCACCAGGGCCTCCATGAACTGCTTTTGACCACACAGCAGCGCCTTGTTGTTCTCATCGCCAAAGGTCAGATTGGTCAGGGCCATCAAGGCATATCTCCTGAGCGAATTGCAGCACTGATCCTCCGGCTTGGGTCCGTGGACAGCATGGTCCAGGTGCACGAGGTTCGGTATTGCGTGCAGGGCCCCCAGCTCGCACATGGCATGGCGATGCTCCTCGTCGAAGCTGACCTTCATTAGCGACGAGATGGCCGCCAGCGGATGGCGATCGGAATCATCGGCTATAGCCTCGCCCCCGCTCTGGAGGAGCGTCTTTAGGAAGGAGCAGTAGTCGACAATCTGGTCGAGAAGGCGCAGCACCTTCGCCTCCCGCCGTCCGGCCTTCTCGTCAGGATGACTGTGCACCACATTGTGCAGTGCTTGTCCAGCGCACTTTCTCACCTCCTGGTCATTGTCCGGGGCGTGCATCATCTGCACCAGCAGCGGCATGCAGCCGGAGCGTCGTAGGGTGGCGCAGCTTTGCGTGCTCCCCGAAAGCTCCAAGAACTTCTTCGCCATTTCCAGCGGATCGTTAGAGCCGAGCATGGAGAGTAAAGAGTACACGCATTCCACCTTTGAGCCCAAGGTGGCATCCACTGCCGAGGTGCTGTACCGCTCGTCGAAGCTCGTTGTCCAGGCGGCTCCTTTGGGCAGCCTGGGAGCCGGAGCAGGGGAGTCACCGTCCAGAAACCGAGAGAGTGTATATGAGGGCTCCTTGCTGCGAGAAGGACGACCTGCACTGGCTGGAGATCCCCCACCGTTTCTAGGCGGCAATTCCTCCAGCTGCTGCTGCTGCGCCGACTGGCGCTCAAAGTTCCTGTCCAGGCTGCGGTGCTCTCGCATCTCGCGGAGTTCCTGCGCCAACATGTAATCCGGCGGTATAGGATTCTCATCTAGAAAATGCTTGGCTGCCGGCTTCTTGCCCACAGCTCCGGATCCGGATACGCTCTGGGTGAAGTGCAAAGTGTTGTCGTCCTGGGTGAACTCCTTCTTCGTGTAGCCGCTGGCGGCCAGCTCGTAGTCACTGATCTCGCCATCGCGCTCGTATTTCTTGTCCATCTTTAGCTGCTCTCCAGAACTCGCACCGAGGCCATCTTCATAGTCTGGTGGCGGCACCGCATCGTAGTCGAGAAAGTGCGGCTTGCGCTCCGGCACCGAGTCCACATCCACATCGTCCAGACTAAGCCCAGCGATGCCATCCTCCAGATCGGGCGTCAGCGTTGGCTCCAACATAGCCAGGCGGGGATAGGGGATTTGGAGCGGGGTTCTTAGTGCCTTAAGTCAATGCTCCATGGCCTGTAGGAGAGACGAAGGGAAAGGCAAAATTGAGACTTTATAAATGACTATAAATTTAGTGCCGAACCGGGGCGTGGGCTAATTATAGACACAGACGTCTCTTGTCCACGCCACGCCACCTCCGTGCCCGCTAAGGCCTGTGATAAACTGTTGAGCAAAACTAAAACAGAGACGAACTGATGTTACATGTGGGCAGAGCCCAGAAATGCAACCGGATAAGTCGCAGATAAGGCTTAGATTATTCCCAGGGGATCAGAGGAATCAACGAGGACAAAAATGTGGAAACTCGGTAGAAAAACTTTTTAGTTCTGCCTCCTGTTTATTTTTAAAAGGGTTAACTTTGGGTTTTTTTTAAAATTTATTATACAGGAACCATATGTTTTCGTGATACGTTAAGTAATAAAGTATGAACTTTAAATAAAAATTATTTTTTGGCACCTTAAAATACTGTTCATTTTCACCATGATACCATATAATATATATTTGTGTATGTTTAGAGTTCTTTCTAAAATATTTTAATTCAAATTAAATTTAAAAGAAGAAAACACCATAGGCCTAGCATGGACACTTGTCTGTTTAGTTGGTAATCTTAAGAAGTCACAAACATGTGATTCTTTAATGATCGATGGCAACTATGATACGGTGATCCCACGTTGATAAACATTTTCTGACGTTGGTGAAGTCATTTTCTCAAATTTAGGGTTGAATTAGAGAGTGGTTTACAAAAAAAGGTAAAAAATCGAAATGAAAATATAGTTTTTCTAGGTAATTTATTATATAATTATTCAATTGGCTGCTACTTAACCCACACTTTTTTACTTAAAATTAATTATTTCTGAGACTTCCCACTGAGGTGCCACAAAGTGGCAGGTTCTTTTGATTGTCTCTGCCTTTGTTCACTTTGAAACTTAATCATCGAGCCAACTTTCAGCTAGGGTATAGTATAGCACATCCAACGAGCTAGTAGTGCCAACAGCAATAGCAAATAGGCGGCTAAATCATTATCATGATTAGCTGGCGCTGCATCTTTTAGAAAGTTAGCGGCACACGGCGTCGTCTTTGCGGAATTTCCAGTGCATGAAAAAGATACAGATGCGTTTTCAGCTGATATTCCTCTTATTGTTGTTGCCTTCTGCTGTTGTAGTTGCACACACTCCCCGAGTACGAGTACAAGACATATTTCTCATTTGAGCTACCGTTGAATTATGTGCAAATGCAATTTGGTGCTGCACTTCTTTCGAGTTGTTATTGTAGCGTAAAATTGAGGCATGGACGGAGAGACAAATGTACATAAATATGTATGTACACCGAAAGAAAATATGTCTGCAATGGGTCAGTAGTTTTTTTATGGATGGATTTAGGTATTACTAGACTATAAGACAATTTCCTCTGTTCAGGCAATCCAGGCAAAGACCGCTTGGATTGCAACTGACCTGGGTCGCGTACCAATTCCTCGGCTCGCACAAGTCAACTTGTTCAAGCTCCAATTGGCAAATTAATCAAATTTTAATTGCGACCATCATAAAAAGAAACAACGAACGAATAAACGAACGAAAAAAACTGAGTTGTAACCGCAATTTGAGTGGCTGCGAAATGCAAATCGCTTGTGTAACAGCGGAAATGCATCCATCCATTCGAATGGAATGCCGGCTGTCCAACAGTGGCCAATTATTCATCATCACCACACATTTGTTGGCCAAGGCTCTGGGCTTACAGTGTAGGAAATACACGAATAGAGATTTCCTTATCAAAAGTGTGATAAAGCAGCTAGCTGATTAACTTTTAGTATGAGTTTTGCCACGATATTTGTCTCTCAGGGTCTCAAGAATTCGAACAATGATCACTTGGTGAATCAACAATATATCAACGCGAATTAGACAAATCAACACGCATATAGACTCTATATATGTACCGATGTGTGCTGCCAAGTACCACAAAGAATGCGGGAATATGCGTCACTTGTCTAGCCAAGAGCTTCAGAGTCGTCCCCCAGAGAGAGACGACTTCTCGTGTTATTAACCGGCCACTACCAAAAGCCATCACAAAAGGCAGCAGTACAATGGAAAAAAATTCAAAACTAAGGGCTACGAGTGAATAGTAATTCAAAAACGGATAAAGAAATAGATAATTTTCAAAAAAACAATTTGAAATCAGCGGCAGCAATCACTTTGTAGAAAGTGAATCAGATTATATCAATTAGATATACCACTGATTGCTTTCAGTCTTTAATCGTTTGTCTTTAAAGTGTTTATGTGAAACGACTTTATTGTGTTGGTAAAAACAATAATTTGAATTATCAATGAAAAAGTTGAATAATTTAACTAAAATATTGCGTTCCATTTATGGGGTCTTGAATGAAAATGATGCTGTCATATTATCCCAAAAAGGAGTGGTTCGACTTCTTGACACTATATACAATTTTAAAAATTCATTTTTTCTTGGTTTAATCAAGCATTTTGTGACTTAAACTAGGGCAGGATTTATTGTAACTTAATAGAAACTCTACAAGTGAGATAAAAATATTACAGCAACCAAAATGCTATAAAAAATTTATAAAAAGTGAAAGCAAAAACACAGCTTTTTGGTATAAAATTTGGCATTGTTAACTTTTAATTCGGCACTAAAAAATATATTAAGAAAAAGAAATATTTAAGTTTTCATATTCAATAAAAACTCATGGTAAAGCCAAATTAATACCTTTTTTGTAGAACGTTTTTAACAATCTAAAAGAACTTTCCCTGTATAGTCCTGTTCACTGTACTCGATTTTGCCTCCCAATCTAATGATTCACACCCACTGTGCAGCTTTTGGCTTGGCACACATTTTGCATACCGAATATCCGAATATCATCCCAGCGGCAGAATTATCAAAGAAAGAAGAATTGGCAATGTCCAGGCGGTGAGGAGGAACGAGGAGCAAGGGCAGACGATGGATGTGGAACCGAAAGCCATTAAACAGGCGCACACAGGGAAATATGCGAAAAGTATAAATAATAAAAACTACACAACAACTGCCGCCGAATCCAGATGTGTGTGCGAGTGTTGTGTGCATTTGTGAGTTAGTTTAATGAACGCCACTTCGCGGTATGTTGTTTTGTTGCTTTTATATCTTTGCCGCCGCGCCGAGATGATGATTATGTAAATTGTAGAAAAGTAAAAGGGAAACTAAATACGGTTCGAAGCTTGTAAAACAATAGACCGTGCACATATGTACATATACAGTGGTATGTATGAATTTTCCCCAATGGTCAAGCAACCGAAATACGCTGTCGGTCGAAGTGATTAATTATAGCGCTGGGGTGAAATGGAAGTGGTTGGAAATTATAGAAATGTTTATCAATTAGGCGGGCCACACTCACTTGCAACGGTGGTGCAAACAACAACAACAATACACAATGCGTTTTGCTGATAAAGGAGCTCTTACACGGACAAGCACCCACACTGCAGCGCAGCCGCATACACGCACACACACACACACTAGCACAGCTGTGTATTCTGCTTGGACTTTTATTGATTTTTCCTGTAAAAGGAATCCGCAGAAAACAGGAATTCGCCAAGGAACTATAAACATTCATAAAGGCCATCAATTATGGAGAAACGCACACACACTGTTTCGCCATTAACAGAAACTGAATTAAGTAAACATTCTACGTTTTATTGTCACGCCAAAATAAGACAATTCCAATTTGACGGGGAACGGCTACGAACTCCCACACAGGCAGATTCTCCGATCCGATTCTCGTACCTTGATTAAAACAGTTTTTCAGCAGCTTCTTCGCTCGCCAGCTGACACATTTCCCGCTTTATCACCTTTGTTTACTCAGAGATATTGCGTTTATTAGTATTCTCCGTACATTTTGCGATAAAACAAATACAAGACGCGCCCGAAACTTTGCTTATCAGAAAACGGTGTTAAAATTGCGACCAGCCGCGAGTTCGTTTGTTGTGTCAGTGTGGCCAGATTAGGTTAGCTCAAAAATGACACTAGTATATAGTCTTAAAAGTGGCTTGATTTAATGAGGGTATTCTCTAGAAAAACGGCTGAAGATATCGGCCAATTATCGTAATATTAATTTAGCCTATTTTTCCAATTATTTCATTCGTGACATTAACGATTAATATTATAAGAAAATATTTATATTTATAATTATAATAATAATAATAATAATAATAATAATAATAATAATAATAATAATAATAATAATAATAATAATAATAATAATAATAATAATAATAATAATAATAATAATAATAATAATAATAATAATAATAATAATAATAATAATAATAATAATAATAATAATAATAATAATAATAATAATAATAATAATAATAATAATAATAATAATAATAATAATAATAATAATAATAATAATAATAATAATAATAATAATAATAATAATAATAATAATAATAATAATAATAATAATAATAATAATAATAATAATAATAATAATACGTAATGTACGATGTACGTAAACCTTGATATACCCCAAGTCATCCACAAGTAATGGGCACCCTGTCTCTCTCGTTTTCGTTGTTGCTGTCCAGTGTTGCCAGTTGATAAACCAGTTATGACCCCTCAGAAAAGCTAGATTCTGAGAAAAAAAAAGCTAAAAGTGAACAATATATGGAGGTCTGGTAAAGTCTGGCAACGCTGGTAGCTCGTGCGGCAGAGTTGCCAGACTTTTCGGTCCCAGCTACCATCGTTGCCTGATTGTAAGTGAACTCTCGTTAGCTACAAGCAAGCTAGACATTTTCCAATTTGAATATGCTAGATCTAGCCCGAAACAAGCCAAACGGGCCACTCTGAAGCCAGCTGAGCGGGTTGTTGTTGCTGCGCCCGGGAAGTGCACGGAAGACGCGAAAAATAATACAACGCAAAAAACACACCAAAAAGCCGACGCAATTGTGCAGCCACCAACAATCAAACCCAACAACAATTGGCGTGCCAAAAGTCAAAAGAGCAATTAGTTCGAGAGAATCGAAACGCCTGCAATTTGGGAGTCCAAAAATCTTATTGATTTTCTGGTTTGTGTGTGCGCGGGTTCGTGAAAAACGCAACAAAAGGAAAAGCGAAAAGCAACCACTTCGAGACATCCACATCCACTACTTCCTTCCACCTTGCGATAATCGCCAGCAATTGGAGACCCAATCGCCCAGTCTTTTCAATCAGCAATGTAGACAAGTGCCATATTTGTTGTTGTCGTGCGTAGTTGTAGTTAATAATCAACCAGCGAGCGCGAGCGAGAGGGCAATAGCTAGGCGTCCCAGCAGCCCCCAAACAACAACAAAAGCGAAAGTTTTCCTGCGTGCGTGTGTGTTTTTGTGTTTGCAAAAAATGGTGGATAAATATAAGCAATAATAAATGCAAATGCAAATGCAAATCTCTTCCTAAAATGTTTCATCAATAAGCGGAGAGTGGAGTTCCGCCCGACATCGGTGTTTTATATATATACACATATATACGAATGCGGGGAGTGGCCGGCTAAGGTGAATTTTTGGGAGGATTTGAGACAAAAGAAGCGACAAAATGTGGATACCTTCGAATAATAAATACGGAGTTGGTGAGTATAAAACGAAAAACATACAGTGAACTCTCGTTTTCAGAGTACCAAAATGAGTACAGATTTTACTGTAAAGGTAGCTGTCAAAATCACTTTTTTTTTTTTTACCACAATGTGAGCTGTATTAATCAAAAAGGTCTTATAGGAGTGAGGCACACTGTACACATCCCCGTGCCACCCACTGGCCACCCATCCCCACCACCGCTCCCCGCTGTGCGTCACGTGCTTTGTCTTTGTTTTTATTGTTGCCTTTTGAGGCGATTCACGGTTTTTTCCGCGAAACGCCGGATACCAACCACCTCCGCACTGTCAAGGGGAGGAAAAGCGATTTTTCTACTTATTTTTATACACAAACTGCTTGTAGCATCATCATCATCATCATCCCCCTCGCAACCCCTCCTGTCACCACAGACTGTATCTCAAAGAGATTTTCCTGTTTGTTGTTGCTGCCGCGCTGCGATTTGATGTGTTTATACACAGAGAGCTTCTCCCCTCTATGCTGCGCCGCTCTTCTGTCGCGTTGCCAATTTCCCACCCAGGTGTTGCCAATTTAAATGCTTTCGTAATTACAGCAGCCGCAACGTCGAGTGGCCGGCCTTATATTCGTGGCTGACAGCGTAACCGTAGCAAAGGCACAATAATAATCTTGCGTGTTGTGATAACACACATATGAACAAGTAGATCTTGGATATTCTTTGTGCTCACTTATTGCACTTCATTGTACGTACAACACACTCGTACTCTTCAGCTGGATTTTCACATTATCTTCGTGTTCGTCACACTTTTCGCTTCAATGGCAACGCTTAACAAATTACCAAGCGGGCAGGGCAGAGCGGTGGGAAAAATAAAAGACCGCAAGACTGAGACTGAGGCTGAGACTGCGAGACTGTCTTCTGTCAGCATCTTCAGTGGCGGAGACTCTGTGCCAAGTTTTATTCATTGTGCCGCTTCACTGCCTCTCCGCTCAGATAAGCGCCAATTTCCATTGTCGTAGGGATGCTCTTCACCCCAACATGGGGTTATTGACTACCACATACAGTTTTGTTCCCATTAAACTTTGACTAAATAACTCAAAATACTTTATTGACTTGTTTGGAGAAGATCACAAGCAAAAAAAACTATTATTTTTACATTTTCCTATTTATTAATATTTATTTTCAAGAGTGTTTCTTATTCGAGTCGTATTCAAAGTATTTATTGTTGCTTATTATTGCTTCGTTTCTGTTCCCTTTTAAACTGCTCCAATTCCCCCAGCATCCGCGGAGACATCATTTTTTGTGTCTGCCCGTTGATGCTTGCTCCACATTTAACCCGGCAAAGATTGACATGAGAGCGGTCAGAGTTTACACAAATCAATCAGTCAGTCACTCTTCGCCGATCAGGGTTTCAGGCTAGGCTGTGTGTGTTAACTTCATTAGCGATTCGAGGCGCTGTCAAGCCAACGCCCTAACCTTGCACAATGCCCAGCACCGCCTCCTCCTCCCATTCAGTCCCAGTTCCGTTCCAGTCTTCATGGCGTTTTCATCCGCCAGTGCCACGTGCTGGGCAACTGCCGGGCAATGACTTCATTACCACTCTGCACTCTTTGTCTCCGGCCGTCGTAATTGTAGTACAGCCGGGCATCTATAATTTAAAACCACCATCTGTCACAGGACACACTATTGAAAGATCTATGGAAGTAGGAAAATTTAAACTAAGCTTATAGAAATATATAGATCTTGAAATCATTTTCTTTTCGTCTGCAATTTGATTGTTAATTACATTCAATGAATAAAATTTTAGATTGAGGAGTTCTAAAAGTTTTCTTATTCAAATTTAACTCATTGAACTTATCAAAAGTTATTTCTTTGATATCTAGTTCCAGTTTTTCTTTAAGCTACAAACAAGTTTGTCTTGTGGAAGTTGGACTGTAGCTATTGCCCTCAATTGCGCAGTGAGTCGAATGCACAATGGTGACAATTTTGCGGAGCAACCCTCGGGCCTGGCCATGCGGGTCAGTTCCCCTTTCATATGGAGTTGCAAACTTAGATTTGAAGCTAAAAGTTTACGCAACTTTTTGCCAAAAAACAAAGTAGAAAAAAAATATATTTTAGGGTAGGGAAGTTAGGCCAGGCACCCTGCGCAGCCTGCCTGCAGCACCGGATGTTGCCGCTCCGACTCTCTGCCGGTCTGTCTGCCTTTTCCAGAGAATTCCGCTGTCGCTGCGGCAATTTCAGTTTCAACTTTAATTTAATATTCATTTTATGCATTTGGCCAGTGGAGCCGCCGCGCACAAATTTGTGCAGCGCTTCCTTCCTTCAGAACGCACACACACATGAGTGCGCATAAAATTGATTCATTTCCATTGTTTAATATGCTTGGCGGCAGCGTTTTTGTGTATTTCCGAGAGAGCGGGAGTTTTGTGCGTTTGAAAACACTCGTCGTCCATTTGAGTTGTACTTCCATAATTCGTCTTTAACGATTTATTTATGAATTGCCATTTGTGGGACACGCGGCGTATGATTAACAACCCGAACGCACGCACACTCGAAATTTATCAGTGAATGTCGCATTTGGTGGCCCATTATCGGTCACATTGGCCGGATGGACGAGTGTTCCCCTTCCGTTGGCCGGTGTATGTATGTTAATGCAGGGAAGTTGTGGGATTGTCTAGGAAAAGGTAAATACATCACCTAAAAGAGGGTCTGCCCGTCTGCCGATAAGCCAGGAACGATAAGGAAATAAATATCCACAACTCAACAAGCTCATAAACTGTTTTAAATTATATATATGTAGGAATAGAAACACAAATAATTAACAAGTGCCAGAAGCACAGGAAGGGTTTTTGACAGAAAATTTACACAAACAGTTGCATTTCATTAATTGGCTTTTTGCTGGGTAAACTCGAAATTTCCTAAAAAAGCAAACAAATGTACGCCATGTGGATTTTAAAAGCTCATTTATATATACAAAAAACACAATGCAAACGACTACAAAAAATAAACAAATGTGCAAGCACTCAATTGAGTGGCACATAAATATGTGTAAAATGCATTTAATTACTGTGATGCCACAGCGATACAAAATGCATATAATAAGCAAATATTTCCAGGCCCCCAACCACACACACACCCTGCCCGTTTATTCTCCAACTGTTGGAACTGGCACTAACTCACAATTATAATAAAATCCACTTGACAATGGCGAGAGCGAGAGCCAAGCTTTGCTTTGTGTTGCCCGGAATACTCCGTTTGGATGCGGAGCGTGTGTGACGGCATCCATTCAGCAAAACTCTACCATCCAGACAATGACAGTGATAATGACATCTGATTGACATTTGGGTCAGGCTTCCTGGTATGAACAGGTTCCGAGGGATCGAGATTTGAACAAAGTAGAGCCTTTTAAATGGTTTCATGTTCTCTCCAGCTAAATGACTCACTTAGATTTCTATTGAGTAAACCTTAAATTTATCCTATTCAAAAACAAATTATATTTAATATAATATATAATAAATCACTCAAAAACTGGATTTGTGATGTCTTTTAAATATTTTTTATAAGAACTTTTGAAAAATTGTCCTGTACAGCTTCAGATCACAATTAGCCATCACGGATATGGTCAATATTTTTCATTGGATCAACATATAGTCACCAATTTGCCAGCAAGCAGAGTGGCGCAGTGGAAGCGTGCTGGGCCCATAACCCAGAGGTCCGAGGATCGAAACCTTGCTCTGCTAATGCGAAAAGTGGGAGTATTTTTTTTATGTACCATTTTTCACTGGCTAATCATGTTGGAAACCTTATCCCTAACCCATTCAGAGTAAATTTCTGTGGTTTTGGGCCAACCACTTGACCCACATTCAGCTGGTTTCCCTTTCCGCCGCTGCCAGCGAGTTCCACTTTGTTGCCGACCCCACATTGTTGGCTATAACACAATTAATTAATTAAATTCTTAAGCCTCCCCAGAGGCACTTGAGTGCTGTGGCAGCGGATGCGGATGCGGCTTCGGATGCGCTGGGGGGAGGTCAAGTGTGAAGATGGGCTCCCCTTGTTGGGAAGCCGCCGCTCATTTAATCCATTTGCAGCCGAGCTTCTGCAGTGGCTGCGGCGAATAGTGCAGCGGCAGGCGACGGCTTTCTCATTTAATTTAAAATTATTTTCCGCGCTACGCCTCCCCGCCACTCCCAACGCTCCATCTCTATCCTCTTCCATTTGGCGTGCACTTGCCTTAACGACTTTTTTATTTAAATACGTTTGTTGACATTGCGGACTTGTTGGAGTGAGCATTGTGTTCTCTGTTCGGCTCCCCCGTTGGTTCCAGCTCCTATGGGTCCTTTGTGTGCGAGCAAACAAAACGGGTGGTGTAAGCCAAGCCTTTTGGGATATTGCATTCATCGTAAAAGTAATTAAAGGACTCAGCCCTATGCCGTGATGATCCTGCCAATTTCCAGGGGCACTTCAAGTCAACTTTATGAAATTTAATATTAAATTCCCCTAAGCCCCTGCTAAATGCTCATTAAAATAATTCACATACACCCGGAGAACGGAATGTGTAAATATTTACAAGGAAAATATGACAAGTCAGTCTGAAGATAATAAACCAACAATTTGATAACTTGATTTAATATTTGTCTGAAGCAGAGTGCATTGGGTATATAAATTAAATAAATATATGTGCTTTTGTTTTTTGTAGCCCTTTTTTTATATGAATTTTATTAAATATAATTATTCCAGAAGCTCTAGTTACAATTGCTTCATTATTTTTGTAAACATAAATGTCCTTAAATGGTTTGTGTTTTCAAGTGTCTTTGCTTTGAAGTCCACTTTTTCCCCTTGTGTAATTGAAAGAGAGGTTCTCCAGTTGCCTTTGAGTTAGCTTCTTGCCAGGCCGACGCCTGCCTAATGTGACTGACCTAAATAGTGCAAACGCTTGGTTGGCATTTTGCCTACTGCGTTATGGATTCCGGGATGTGTGTACATACACTCAGAAAAAAATATATAAGTTTACTGGTTAACTGGTTTCCTGGATTAAATGATGAGTTTTCTTATATTTTCCTATTTAAGAATTATCAATTAAATTATCAATCAAATCTTTTTAAAGCTAATTCTGAGTCAATTAGAATTCGTTTTTCCTGCTTAAATGAAAACTCATTAATCATTAAGAAAATCTACATTTTTTTTTATAGAGAATTAAAGTTTGTGATCTATTTTCTACGCCTTAACTTAGGAGATTTAATAAGTATCTTTCAATGAAAGATTACTAATTTTATATTTCTCTTATTATTATTATTGGAAATAATCATTTTAATTAATCGTGAACTCTACGTTTAAATTAATTTAATGCCCTTTAATAATTGTAATTGCACATAAATACGCTGAGCACTATTTTCCGAGTGTTGAAGTATGGGTATGTGTTCTCATTTTCTGGAGTGTTTGCCCGCGCCGCCAGTTGAAGTGCCAAAACTGAAGAGTGAGGCGGGAGCTGTATGGGAATCTTCAACTGGCATTTTAAATTATAAAATTCTTGCTATTTAGCATCTGCAGAATTCATTTAAATCAGGCTGCCGCATTCGCGACGAGCATCGCAAATTGAAGCCAGTTAGAGGCGGTTGCCCAGAGTCGCAGCTATAACTGAAATAAAGGCAAAGGGAAAGGCAACGGCAGCTATAAAGAACTCACAGAGCAGCAGCAGCAGAAGCAGCAGCAACAGTAGCAACAACAGGAAGCAGTTTGCCCATTTTCATGGCATTTCATTTTACATCTCCCCTCCATTCCGGATTCCCTTGTCCCTTGTCCCGTTCCTGCTGGTCCCACCTCTGCCTCCGCCTCCAACCGAATCTCTCTGTCTGTCTGGGCGTGCGTTTTATTAGCTCCTTTCGTTGATATGCTCATGCCGTGCTCGCTCGTTTGTCTTTCAACAAGGGAACACACAGCCACATTCGCATCCCATATCCACACAGACACCGAACACCCAGCACCACCACCTTCAGCAGCAGAAGCAGAAGCACCACCATCCACATCAGCACCACCCCAACAGGGCCGGCTTCCTCGACTCGCGGCGCCTCCCAGACTAAAGTGTGTGCCTTGCATTTATAATGGATACACGGTGAAAAATCGGATAGTGCCTGTTTAGAATTCAAATTAGCTTCGTCTTTGTGATCCACACTGATAGTAAGGGAAATTCCAAGCAAACACACAAGGCTTTAAGACAATTACAATAATGTTCTATAGGTTTTTGTAAAAAGAAATTATATACTTTAACTAAAGGCTGAAGTATCTGTAGATTTTTATCATGGAGGAAAATTTTAGTAGAAAATTTCCAGAGTAATAAGGATTTAGTTGAAAAAATAGGTCCCTTTTTAAAGAACCATGAATATTACTTTTAAATTTTATATATTTATGCGCCTCTCGACATCAAATGATGATAGCTGCCTAAAGTTCAGTGCGCTTTCTTAAAAAGGAGAAAATAATTTTAGGCATAATTCCAGATGGCTTCATTCTTATTAGAGAACTGAAAAAAAAAGAAACAAACATGGTCTGTCTGGCCAGTACTGTCAGTGTACTCGTTACCATGGCCACCACAGAAAGCATTGCGGATGTATCCAGCAGCTTTCACAGGCCCGGCGCTCTGTAGCTTCAGCTTGAGCTCTGGCTCCGGCTTCCAATGACAGCTCCCGTTTGGGTGGCTGGAGCATGAGCCAGGAGCCAAAGTGTTCGATGGCCAAACTCATTGTTCACCCCCCATATACATACGCATGGCATACGCTCTCCATAAAAACACGTATAGATGCATATATTTTCTTTTCATAGCCATTTTCCTATTTATAGTTGAAGTATTTATTGTTGCCTGGCCACTCGTGGCATGCTCAAGTGGCCACTCGTGGGGCCACTTTAATTGCCACGCCGCCAGCCTGACATCAAAACATAGTCCATCCTGGTACTGGGACTCCAATGTCATGGCCAAGGAGGCAAGGTGGCAACGCAACTGGTTGTAATCTAACCGCAGCTAAGACCGACTTTTCACGCTTTCCCATTGCCTTCTTTGCAGCCATCCACAATTGGCATGGCGATGTCCGCTTTGGCCTGGCCCTGGACGTTGGCGATTCCGTGGACATTGTGGAGGAGTGCACGTATTGGTATCGAGGTTCCTGTCCCCGCAAATCCCGGGCAGTGGGTATCTTTCCCAAGACCTATGTGCACATCAAGGATTTGTCGAAAATTGATCCCGTGGTCGCCGAGTGCACGCAGGTGCTGCGCGAGTGGTCTGAGATATGGAAGCGTCTCTATGTGGTAGGTTATCTAATAAAATCGGATTTCAATGAATATTTAAAATATTTTAAATTATTTACAGGATCGGGAAGCCTACAAGTTCCAAACACTGCGCAAAGTAATGTTTTCCATATTGGAAAGTCGAAGGGAACTCTTGAGCGCCACAATGACTCAGGATCAAACACTGGAGCTTCAAATGGTTGTGGTTTCAAAAATCGACTGGGGCAATCGGTAAGTTAGTTAAGATAGTGTAAATATTTATGAGAGGATTTAATTGACAAACATAATACGCATGAAGCTCTTGAACAAACGTAAATATCTTTTCCAGGAATGTTTAATCAACAGTTCTTCTAAATTTTGAAAGCTTAACAAATCATATTATATAGTAGTGTACCCTCTGATTATTGCTTTTAAAGGTTTTCCTTTGTTTATTAATAATCTTACAGAGTTCTTTAGCCCAGCCTTCAGGGTTAGAGACCCACAAATCCGTTTCCGCCCACTGATAAAACTCTAGTTTAGCTGAAATTGTATATAGAATATTTATTACAACTTTGAACTTAGATAGCTTGGGTTCTCTTTTGCTTTTTTATGTAAAATGTGTTCTTTTCTAGCAATAATCACAATAATTTTGTTATAAACAAAATTCCTTAAAATTACGATATATCTGTAGACTAAATGTTAGGACAAAAATAGCGAGAGCATTGTGTATACTCGATTAAATATTCATAATCATAATCATAATCATATTCCTCATTCGATTACTACCAATTTTATATAGATCAACGTTTCGTGAGCGTGCGTGAGCGATAAGCAGATATATATCTGCATAGGTATTTAGTATGGGGACCCAACGATCCGAACCCACTATCGAGCTAACTTTTAAACTTAATTGTATATTTAAAATGGCGCATCATTGGCAACGACCTAACTACGATACCAAGTAGCAAAATCGCTTGCTGGAGAGACCTCCTTTCTCCTCCTCGTCGTTCAATCTTCAACCTACAAATTGCACGGTCTGCATGTGTCCCTCTCTGATCTCATTTCATATTATATCCTGTTATATTCTTCCTTGTTATCTCACTCTTTAGCTCACCCCCGTGTCAATGACGCACTGCACCTGTCTCTTTTGGCTAGGACCGAATTCAAAGATTATTATTTCCTTATAATTTCGCTAGATATATTTCGCATAGTTTGTTATGTTACTGAGTTTCTGAATCATCTCCGAAAATGTAATGTTACTCGTCGTTCTTTCGTTTCTTTGCCGGCGTACAACAGTCTTGGTGGTAGAAATGGAAAGACCTAACCTCATGACACACAACTCTCGCTGTCCCCCCTACAAATATTATTGAGAAATCATTGAAATCATTGTTTAGAAGCCACCCCGGTGGAGTCGGTTCATGTCTCCGTCTCCTTGCCGCCGCCAAAGCTCTCAACAGGCGGGTATATCGGATGGCTGATCGGGTTCATTTCGAGGGTCGATGGTGCCGATGGGGTTCGGGATGCGCCGAGCAGGCTGCATAGCTGCTGCAGCATGTCGCTGTAAGATCTTGTGCTGAGATTCTGGCTGAGGAAGTGCAGGATCAGGAAGTCACCAATCTGTTTGGGAAAACAAAATCCATTAGCAATGGTTTCCTTATCTGAATTACTATAGCAGGAACTCACCTCCAAGCGCCTGACCAGGCCGGCAATTTCCTTGCGCTGTCCAGAGCGGTACGACCGCTTGATGATCGTCTCCCGAGTGGTAGGCATCATGATCACCACTAGAGAGAAGAGCACAGCCACGCCAGAGATGGTGGCCAAAATAATGAACCAGAACCTATGGAAGAACCATAATCATTAGAGATCTTTCTAGAAAAAGGAAAGAGAAATCAAACACTCACCACAGAAAGATGTAGATCTTCTCGTTCAGGATATTCAGTGCCAGTACACAGAGTGTGTCATGCTTCTGGACCGATCCGCTGGGACCAAACTTGTGGAATGTGCATTTGGTTAGCCTTGGGAAGATCTCGATCATGGGATCAAAGCGCTTGTCCTGGTCCATGTTAGAGAATTTGACCACATCCGTTCCATAGGACATAAAAGCACCGCCCAGGAACTTATCCACCATAAAGATATTTACAATCACATTGACGAAATTGAGCAGCTCGCAGAAGAAGTAGGCGAAGGAGTAGCCGTTGTGGGTATTCAGACTGTTTACAAAATACTTGAGGATGCGGTCCTGACGATCACGTCGATAGTCATCCGGCACACTGACCATGCCGCGCAGGCCATCGGTAATCATACGAATCTTGCCGTCCTCCATGTTCTTCCAGACCCAGTGGGGAACGTAAAACATAAGTCCCTGTAAAGGAAGGTATTTTAGTTGGAAGAACTTGGTATAATGGCTTCCGTAGATGGGAATTCAATCCTAAAAGCCTTTTTATTATATCACACTCACCTGGAAGAATAGCACAAATGGCACCCACTGATAATAACTGTGATAGCGCTTCTCCTGACCATAATCATTGCCCAATCCCGGGGCTGCTACATCCGTTCCGATCTGCCGGTGCTGCTGGCCAGGTATCGTGAACGTGTAGGTGATCCAGCAGAACGTGTTGATCACATGCATGGGTATGGAGCCATCGTTGATGCAACTTATGGGATCGCCTGCAAGCAAAGAGATACAAATATAGATACAGATAGAGATTCAGATAATTTGTAGATATGCATTCGACCTCGCCGCAATTCGAATCTAGAGAAATCCACGCGCATTCCTCGCAACCAACAACCTCGCATGTCGTCCGTCAACGTCAAGTGCCATTAGGGCAATCTCTTGCCCCGGTGGCTCCACACAGGCAGGCACAAATTGTCGGCACTGTGGGTGCGGTTACGGTTACATCAACGGTTACGGTTGCAGTAGGTGCTCACAGCAGTTGCTACGTGCTTAGGTAAGCCTGCAACATTCAGGCGGAAAGCATTTTTGGGTGTGCCCCAACTTCGACATGAACTCCGTTGCCTTCTACTCCTCCTCCTCCTCCTCCTCCACTGTTTGGGCAAACAAAGTGGATACAAATAGAGCTGCAGACGATGGCGGCTGAGGAGGGGGGTAGAATTCCCAGAACTAACCGTCAATATTTGACTGTGGTTTTGTCCGCTGTTCACTTTCAGAGCACTTCTTTTAATGCACTAATATTTGGCTGGGGATGCGATGCCCCAGATCAAGGTAAAGGTACATGTAAGGTGATTCTACTTGGCTTTAAAAGTCAACAAAGTGTTGATTAAAATTAAGAAAAAGCCTTGTTTAGGTAATTGCAGCTTAAAACTACTGGAAGTATTAAAGCTATAAACTCTTGTTTACAATGAGAACAATAATAAACATTTCTCAATGTTATTGCTTCGCTTCAATTAACCAAACATAAGTAGAATCTCCTTTTACAGAGCTTAACTTCCAGTGCGTGGGAATCTACAACCAAATGAATTCCTGACTTCATTATTTAAGGCACTTCTCACTGAGCCCAGCTTGAACCAGATACATTGATATTCACGCCAGTTACAGGCATGGAAGGCATAAGCCCAGGGCACCACCACCACCCGTGGCGACCAGCGGCGAGTGAGTCATATGGAGCGGCTTAAGCTGAAATCCGATGAACGTGTTGCGGTCAATTTGTGAAAGCTCTGCGAAGTTTTTTTTCTCCGTTCCGAATGAGTTCGATTTCAAATGGGTTGTTGAGTCGAAGTGCTGCTGCATTAGCAGTAATGTTGCAATTGTAAGCGCAAATAAGCATAACTAGGCTAACTCTGGTGCTAAACACTATGCACTGTGGTGCACTAGTTTCCATAGAGGAGGTGCTAACTTACCGATCAGATTGTTTGCGGTGACGATGATGCAACAGGTGAAGAGAATGGCAGTCGTGATCCTGTAGTGGCAGCGGAAAACCATGTTGTCGATAACCGCCTTGTCCAGCAGATAGCGAATCTTGATGAAGCCGGACACGGCCGAGACCATGCCAAAGACCGCCATGTTGATGGTTGGTGTGCTGCTGCAACGAAGCTAACTGCAAGTGGATGAGAAAAAATAGGGAAAATCATGAAATGAGCACTTGAACACTGGGGAAAAGGGGAAGTTTTAAAGGGAAATGCTTCTTAAAAACAAATTACTTCGCAATAATTATTGTTTTCGGCAGAGAAGAGTAAGGATAGGGAACCCCCAGATGGTTTTAAATTGATAAATCACTTATTATATATAGTATACTTATTTATATATAAGTTAATAATTCTTCATTAGTATGAATCCCAGTTTTTTCCGAGTGCACAGCCCTCGTTCCTAATGTTCCATACTTAATTGTGCGCTGTGTTGTTTGCCTTGTGCGTTATCTAGGACAGTCATGTCATGACATATTCCAAATTATTTCACCACCACATATGTATTTCCTCTCCACTCCCAATCCAAGTCCCGCAGCCATCTCTGCCTTGGAGTTCTCCAGCAGTTGGTCTGTTTGGAATTTCTCGGCGTTATCATGTCGACAAGCCGCACTTACAATTAAGTAAGTGCTGGGGCAATGCCGGAACAGTGTGTTAGAGGAGGAACATTGCGATGTTACGTCGTTGTGCAATCTAATCTAATCTCCGCTAAGCTCGTCTAGGTTGAATGCCCTGCCTTCCGTCTCCGCCTCCTTGGCCGTCGTCGAGAGCGCCGCTAACAAGTTCATCTCGAGAGAAGACGGTGGCTCTCACAGAGGAAACCGGTACGGTGGTACAGCTTTTTGTCAACCCACGCATAAATTTCACTTTGTCCCCATGCCGAAAGCACCGAAAGACTGAAACGCCCGAGAAGCCGAATTTCAAGCACCGAAATCCAAACCCAAAGATACCTCGAATCTTTCGCTTGTGGGTTTTTGTTTTCTTTTCAGCTTTTTTTCGGCACTGCTTCGGGATGAGATAGGGTCCATGGATCATGGATCAGGTTCTGGTTCGGTTTGCTTTCTTCTCGACTCTTTTGTTTATATGCAAATTTTTTGTTGTTTTTTTTTTTTTTACCGTCTTTTGGGCCATTGTGTGTGTTTTATGTGTGTGTTTTGGCTGTATTTCATTTCGGCACGACAACAGATCGTTGTATAAACGCGAGAGGAACGCACACACAAGCACACAGTCGCACGCATGCGCGGCTTATAGAGTCATCTCTGTCGCACGCATGCGAGCAGCAATTAAAGTCGCAAAGTATCTGTATCTGCGCAACGGCAGCTACTCCTTTTAAATGCATCAGCTTCTGCACTGAAAATTCAATCTTACCACTCGCACAGCACACACACACACACTCGCACTCGAACACACAGATACGCGGAGAGCACTTCATTTTCAACTCAACTTCAATTCTTGCCTCTTTTCTTTCAATAAATTTTTTGAAAAAAGACAAAAAAGAAACTGGTTTTAAGGTATTTTCTTTTTAGGAGTACGCGAGAGTGCTCGCTGCTGCTCTCCCATTTTGTTTCGTTTCGTTTTGGTTTAGGTTTTGGTTTGGTTTTCTTCTCGAAACTGTTTGCTACCAATATTGGCAGCAACCTGCAAGAACCGAGCCGAACCGAACCGAACTGAGGCGACCCCTTCGCACACACTTAAGTGATTCTTTTGCTCCTGGTGCCGCCGTCCGTCTCCGCCGCCGCATTAAAATTTATTGCTGCCACTTTGACACTTTGGAAACCCGTTTTCGAACGGCCCATTAATTCCCAGCTCCCAGCTCTCTGTCGGCGGAGCTTGTATTTATTATGTTTGTGCTTTTTTAGTTGCTTTTGTTAGACGATTTTCGTTACTCGTTTTTTTTTTTTTTGTTAAGAACCGAGTGCACTTTGTGGCAGATTCAAGATTTCTATTATACACAAGTACAAACACACACAAGACAGTCTCTGTCTCAGCTGGCAGTGCATTCGAAACTGCACCCTGCAGTGGTGTGCGTGCGCTGCTGAGCTGTGATTTTGATCAGTATCAGTGGTTCGCAGTCGGAGCTAGTGGCCATACCCGTATCCGTATTCTCGAAAGTGTGCAGCTGCTCTCAGCGGCGTTCGGAAACCTACTGACTATCGCCCGCTGACACTGACGCCGAGCACGACCACAACCAGTGCCAGTGCCAGAGCCAGAGCCCAGCTACAAGCCGAGTCTGCTCTCTCTCTTTGGCTCTCTGACTATCTGGAACCAGCGATCCCAACTGGTTCGTATCCGAAATTACGCTCAAGCTGCATTTGCATTCGCCCTACCTGGGCTACAGAGAGGGAGAGAGAGCCAGGTAAAAACCGTGCAGCCGCTTAGGTAGTTCACTCCGAATTTCCCTTTATCTCGAGTTTGAAACATCTGGATTGGAAATCTGTAAATCCATTGATTAGTTTAGCTCTTCTCGCTTTTATGGCCCTCTGCCTACAACTCTATCGTACAGATCGGGGATTATAGATTAGGCTGGGAGTCGGAGTCCGGAGTCAGAGCATTTAGGGTGGCTAAACGAAGATTTCGAATCAAGAACTGGAACAACACCCAATAAAGCACTTGAGAAGCGAAAGAAATGTTTAAATAGAGAACAAAGTGGAGAGGAATAAAGTTAGCTCTAGAGAAAAGACAAACTTAACGGTAGTATGTGATCTCTAAATATAATATACGGTCTTTTGAACCTATAACAAGATGTATATCTTAAAAACTTAATTAAAAGGGCCCAATTCGTGAACAATTTTATTTAGAGTCCTCTCCTTCTAGTCTCTTTATTTATTTAATAAACGGTTAAACAATATTTTAATGTCCAAAATTTGTATAGATAGATAGATAAAGTTATTCTGTATCATCGTTTGAAGCTTGTATATCTAATCTCTATCTAAAATATCTACTGCAATTAATAATATAATATTATATATATTTGAAGGTTCTTTAGTCTTATACTTTCATCCTCAATCCTCATCTTAATAAACGAAATTAATGAGATACATCTGAAGTGCTAAAATACTGCCCCTTTGCGACTCATTATAAAAACAGCTTCCAATTAATTCCGCAGAACCTAAGCTGCCTGTCCATTTAGTTTATCGTTGCTCCCAAGCCCAAAAGAATCCTGTGTTCTGCCCCAGACGCCGTTCTGAAGAGTCCGCCAAGTGGATCCAAGGAACTATTCGTATTCCAGGGTTAAATGTGTCGCTGAACACACACTCACAGAGCTCGCGTTGGGTCCGAAATGAAGATCCATTTGCATGCTGAGAGCTAGACAAGCAACGCCAAACTAGTTGCCAGGCATTCCTCCTTCAGGTCTCAGGTCGGGACCGACTATGCACCTCCTGCTCCTCCTTATGCTTCGACTCCTTCGGGTGGTGGAGTGACTCAGCTCGGTGGCTTTGGCCTGCTGCTGACTTGTTCTTCGCCGCCGTCTTGGCCATAATGAAATGGCATTTCGAAATGGCTGCGCTGCCGTTTGGTTGGTGGTACGACTGCGGCAGCCGGTGGTTCAGATGCTGCTGCTGTTTCCATGTTCTGAACCACTCCGCTCCACCTTGTGCCTCCCCGCCCTGCACTGTTTGTTTATTGTCGGGGACCGATGCCCGATGCCCGATGCCGGTTGCCTGCTGCCTGCTGGCTGATGCCTGTGGCCTCTCGCCAGAAATGTATCTGCGAGCTACACCTTTTATAAAGACATTAAATACAAAATATATGGCATGTGTGATTGTGATACGCGTTGTATCTGGGCCTCAGTCGAGACGAGACCCCTAGATACAATGCCATCGAACGTGTTGCTGTTATTGCTTTTGTTTGTGGTTGACAGCGCTGCTTATCGAAGTGTAAATAATTAAATTTTTTCTGTATCGTCTGGGTCTCCATCTTGTTGCCTCTTCGAGCCCTTTTAACCGAGGTTGTATGCTCCGTTCTGTTTGGTTCTGTGGTGTCATATCTTTCGAAGATTTCCAACACTTTGTGCCCTGGCTTAATTAAAAAGGAATTTGTTTGGAATCCCTCATTCCAGATAAGCGAAGATGCTATTCTTTACTCTTTTTTTTTTTGGGTATACAAATTCACCTGTTTGGGGTTTGGGACCCGGCACTTAATTAAAAGCGACTTAAAGTGTTCATTACCAGCGTGGCTACCGTTTCGCGCACGCGCTCCTCTCATATTCGTATCCACAAAATACGTTTTCGAGTCGCAGTGCTTCATTTGGTCACGTCAACTCAGAGCCAGGTCCACAGCCAGAGCCAGAACTCCAGGCGTAATAGAGGTGGCTCAAACCCAACACACACAAACACACCCATCACACACACCAATCGGTGGCGGAGAGCTAAAATTCCCCAGAGATCGTACGACGGTCTCTCCCAACTGGTTCCGGTTCCACTATTTAGAGAGATCTCTTCAGGCCTCTCTCAGCATTTCACCTGAGATAGAGGCAAGTCGTTTAGGCCTCGTTAACAGCCAAACGGCTTCTTCGGCTTGTTCTGGAGGCTTGTAAAAGATGCTCTCTCGCTCGCTCTCCCTCGCTCTCTTTCTCTCTGCGTAAGCCAGGTAGAAGGCCCCAGCGTAGCCGAGGTAGCAGCATCGTCAACGACGTCGCGACGTTGCCGCTGTGAACCTGGCCTCAACTCTGGTCAGCTCTGTATCCCCTTGCTCCGCCGCGTCTGCCCCTTCTCGCATGCGCCACCGGAATGCCGTGAACCCATTAGCCGTGTTCGAAGCTCTGGATCGCTGCCTGTAAGAAGCCAAAATTTATGCGTCATGCGGGCCATGCGATGTGAGTCCACCACGGTTCGGGCCATCATCATCGTCATCATCATCATGTAAATTCCACGCGGTAGCCACTGGACAAACGGAGGGCACGTACTGGCCATAGATAGTGTGAAATAATGATAGGTCCAATCCATTTAGATACACATCTTTGACGATAGATTTTGGATTGGTTCTCGATTCGAGTTACTTTTCGAATGTCGATCGGATGTTCGTGACAGGTTGTCTGGAGTTGGGTGCCTTGACTCTGATTCATTCGAGGGCAATATTTGCATGAGTGGCGCGGATTAGTCAGAAATGTAGGGAACCTGATAGTCTTGGGTTCTTTATTGTGAACAAAACTCCTATATCGAGACTACTTTCTAAAGCAAAAATAAAAAGGGAAATGCTGATAGCACGGGTTTGCAACCCAAAGTCATTAGAGTATATATTATGTTTTATCTGTGGGCTCCGATAAAGGTTATAGTGGGTTTTGAGCTCGAAAAAGGGGTTATAGAATTACCTAAAATTAAATATTTTTGAGAAGCTATTGTACTTGTCGACTATTAGACATTACTATCTTTATAATCATGATGATCATAATGATTAAACAATCATCTTCCTTTCCCTTAAAGAAGACAATTATCTTTATCATCTGAATTCCTGTCGGCCCTCTTAAAATCACCCAAAATAAATCCACTCTTTCCCTTCACGGTCTGTTCTATTTATGGAAATTCTTGGTGATTAATGATCATCACCCATGATGATGACTGACCAAATTCGTATTTAATTCTTGGCGCTCCGCACGACTCCGCGTCAAGCGACAATTAATTACGAATGCGTCAATTCGATGGTTTTTCAAAGCAACAAACCAACTGGACTGTAATCGCAGGGCTGGCTTCCCCCTTAGGTTTTTGATCCCACGTTCCATTTATTTATATGTTTCTCATATTGGAACGTGACAAACTGGCAAAGTTGTTATAGCTGTGTGTTTCTCCCGTTGCATATTATCGCCATAACTCAACCAACGGATGCTTTTCGATCATTGCAGCAAACTCGGTCTGGATTTGGTGCCTCGAGAGGGACCTTTGGCAGTGGATCCGCATAGCATTGGAATCGTCAAGCTGTACAATGTGCACGTAAGCAGTGCTGATAATGCCAAGGCTTCCTCGGTAAATATTTAAATGTAGTTGTAATATTTATTATATGTACTTTAATGGCTTCTTTGTTTAATTAAACCCACAGAGTCGGGGCACTTTGAGGAGAAAGACGCAGCGAAAGATCCTAACCCATCATCTTTATTTCTGCATGCGAGGCTTTGGCTATCGCATTGGCGGCGATGATGCGGAGGTCTACTTTTTTCTGTACGATGGCACTCACATGCGACCGTTGTCCGAGCGGTTTCTGTTTAAGATCTCCAAGGATGGTTTCACCAATTACACTGAAAAATTGCACAGCAATTGTACGGTGTTCACGGATCTCGGTAAGGAATTGCTTTTATTTTAATATTTCTAAACCAGTTTTTTCAATAAAATCAATCACAGGCGCTGCCGATCTCAATGAGGATCTCCATCTGGTGGCCGTGGTTATGCGCGTGGGCAAGATCATTCAATCAGACTCCATCAAGAAGATCGAGAAGAGCGGCGCCTATGGTCATGGACCAACCTTCCGTCGTCCATTTGGCGTGGGCATTCTCTCGCTTAGCGACATTGCCCACTTCGACAGCAGTTTGGAGCAGTCCTCCGACGAAAGGGAGTACAACTTTAAGCTGTTCCAGTGCGAGGAGAAGGACTTCCATCTGCTGCCCGAACTGATCATCAAAAAGTCTAACGGCAAGTACTCACCCATCCAGCCGAGTCAGGGCACTCAGGGCATTGATGTCTCTCTGAAACTGCTGCACGGCGGATTGGGACAGGCTCGTCAGGAGCAGCCGCTGCTCTTCCAGGGCACCACGATCACTAGGAAGATGGGCTTCCCCGATGTCATCATGCCGGGTGATGTGCGTAACGATCTCTTTTTAACCCTGGAAAGGGGAGAATTTGAGCGCGGTGGAAAGAACACGGGGAAGAACATCCTCGTTACGGTTGTGGTCCTGGATGAGACGGGCAATGTGCTAACCGACTGCCTATGGGGTGCCTCTGGGATGGACTCGCAGGCCCAGTACCGATCCATGATACTGTATCATCAAAACACGCCCAACTGGAACGAGATGCTGCGTCTCTGTGTGCCCATCGATAAGTTTGCCTCGGCTCATGTGCGCTTCGAGTTCCGGCACTGCTCGACGCGGGAGAAGACGGAGCCGAAGCTGTTCGCCTTCAGCTTTGCCAGGCTGATGGACACGGGCGGGGCCACGCTGCGCGACGGCCAGCACGATCTGTTTGTGTACAAGTGTGAGGATCCTGCCA